TCACCGCGGTCAATACTACAACCAGACACAGGCGACTACGGGGTTCATATTTTAGATCAAATTTTCCATGTCGGAACCGTCAAACCAATAGAGTAGTGCGTCCGTTTGTAGTGTTCACACCGCACACGTCATTAATGTTGTGAGCTGTTTGTGCGGCATTGCTGTCGCGACGGAACTATGACGTATTCCATCATTACTCATATTTTTATCGTGTCCGTTATTGATGAAAAAGATCCAAATGTAGCGAAAACAAAACACTAATCAATAAATTAATCATTGAATTTGAAAGTAAAATTCCATATTTCAATAAATTCATTTGAAATTAGGCTTAATTGTATAACGGCAACTTCATAGTTAGACTTGAGATTTTGAAAGAAGATTATTATCCGTATAAACATGGACAGCCAATCTCATGAGATAAAAAATGGAGCATTATTAACTGTCAAAGTGAAGCCTTAAGTGAGATGACGGTGTCCTAGCATAACAATTAGTTTTAAGCATTAGTTTTCTTCATAGGAAGTTAAGATTGTTTGATATAAGCTTAGTAATATTATATAGTTGTTGGCAATTCTCACAAGTTTGTATAAATTATTAATTGATAAGTAATACAACCAAATTCTCATAATTTGTGATCTACGGGCAATGTGTGTTAATGGTCAATGATTACATTCCTTCAACTAGGAATATGCCTTACAGTAAAAACAGCATGTTTAGGCATAAAACATGATTTGATATAAAATATTTAAATTCATTTTAATGTGCAATTATTTTCAATGTATTATTCATTTCCAAGTAATCTTTTTTTAAATAGTTCCCACATCATTCCTTCTATTTTGATACATACTAAATAGCTGTCTCACAGAAAAAGTACATAAATAAAATCTAACTCAGGCAATTAATATGATTAATTTTATTTCTGACATTGTTTCTGTTGTAATATATTTTTATGACAGAATTAGATTTTTTTATTATCAGATTTTGAAAGTGAAAATAAGTCCGAACTATAATATATACTTATCCTATAAGAGGGCTATTGCCAAGGCGAAGTCGGAGCACGTTGCCAGAATTGGCGAGCGACTGAATAGCTATCCCTCTGGGAGCCGTGCTTTCTGGTCGCTAGCTAAGGCTGCAGAAGGTAACTTCTGCAGGTCTAGCCTTCCACCACTGCGTAAGTCCAATGACAGTCTGGCTCATAGTGCGAAGGAGAAGGCTGACCTTCTGGTCAAGCTCTTTGCCTCATACTCGACTTTGGATGACGGAGGAGCCACGCCGCCCAACATCTCCCGGTGTGACAGCTCCATGCCTGAGATTCGCATCACACAGCGTGCGGTCAGGCAGGAGCTTCGGCTTCTTGATGTCCATAAGTCGAGTGGGCCAGATTGCATCCCCGCAGTGGTTCTAAAAACATGCGCCCCTGAATTGACACCCGCGCTAACGCGTCTATATCGCCTCTCGTACAATACCAACAGGGTTCCGTCTTCATGGAAGACTGCTCATGTCCACCCTATCCCCAAGAAGGGTGACCGGTCGGACCCCTCGAATTACAGACCTATCGCGATAACTTCCTTGCTTTCCAAGGTGATGGAGCGAATCATAAACATCCAACTTCTTAAGTATCTTGAGGATCGCCAGCTGATCAGTGACCGGCAGTACGGTTTCCGTCATGGTCGCTCAGCTGGCGATCTTCTTGTATACCTCACACATAAATGGGCTGAAGCCTTGGAAAGCAAGGGCGAGGCTCTCGCTGTGAGCCTTGACATCGCGAAGGCCTTCGACAGGGTCTGGCATAGGGCACTTCTATCGAAGCTTCCAGCATACGGGATCCCTGAGGGACTCTGCAAGTGGATCGCTAGCTTTTTGGATGGACGGAGCATCGCAGTTGTCGTCGACGGCTGCTGCTCCGATACCATGACCATCAACGCTGGTGTTCCACAAGGTTCGGTGCTCTCCCCCACGCTTTTCATACTGCATATCAATGACATGCTATCTATTGATGGCATGCATTGCTATGCGGATGACAGCACGGGGGATGCGCGATATATCGGCCATCAGAGTCTCTCTCGAAGCGTTGTACACGAGAGGCGATTAAAACTTGTGTCTGAAGTGGAGAACTCTCTGGGGCGGGTCTCCAAGTGGGGTGAACTGAATTCAGTTCAGTTCAACCCATTGAAGACACAGGTTTGCGCGTTCACTGCGAAGAAGGACCCTTTTGTCATGGCGCCGGAATTTCAAGGAGTATCCCTGCAGCTTTCCGCGAGTATCGGGATTCTGGGGGTCGATATTTCGAGCGATGTCCAGTTTCGGAGTCATTTGGAAGGTAAAGCCAAATTGGCCTCTAAAATGTTGGGAGTTCTCAACAGAGCGAAGCGGTATTTCACGCCTGGACAGAGACTTGCGCTTTATAAAGCGCAGGTCCGACCTCGCGTGGAGTACTGCTCTCACCTCTGGGCCGGGGCTCCCAAATACCAGCTACTTCCATTTGACTCCATACAGAAACGGGCTGTTCGGATGGTCGATAGTCCTGCTCTCGCGGATCGCTTGGAACCTCTGGGTCTACGGAGGGACTTCGGTTCTCTCTGTGTTTTATACCGCATGGTCCATGGGGAATGCTCTGAGGAATTATTCGAGATGATTCCCTCATTCCTTTTTATCATCGCACCTCCCGCCATCGGAGCAGAGTTCATCCATATTATCTGGAACCGCTGCGTTCATCGACAGTGCGTTTCCAAAGATCTTTTTTGCCACGTACCATCCGGCTTTGGAATGAACTCCCCTCCACGGTGTTTTCCGGGCGCTATGACATGTCCTTCTTCAAACGAGGCTTGCGGAGAGTTCTTTATGGTAGGCAGCGGCTTGGCTCTGCCCCTGGCATTGCTGACGTCCATGAGCGACGGTGACCACTTACCATCAGGTGGGCCGTATGCTCGTCTGCCTACAAAGGCAATAAAAAAAAAAAAATATATATATATTATTCGGTTTTTACACAACTAAGATTTAAACAAATCTTTTTACAAAGAAACATTTATATCAATACTGCAGAAGTCCTGGTCAGTTATTGCATTTCTAACTTGCATAAGTGGTTCATTCAGTGTTCCTCACAATTTGGACCTCCATATTGAGAATAGTTTTGGTCTAGAACCTAGACCATAAAATAATTGGTGTAACATTCATTATAGTCATCAAAATAACGTGAATATTACTGAAAAGGTTTTGATGAACACAAAACTCTAAAAATTGTTATGATCTGCTTTTTTTTTTTTTGCTTGAATGGACGAGCTCACAGCCCACCTGATGTTAAGTGGTTACTGGAGCCCATAGACGTCTACAACGTAAATGCGCCACCCACCTCGAGATATAAGTTCTAAGGTCTCAGTATAGTGAAAAAACTGATAACCTAGCCCAAGTACTTTCTACAGTTACTTCAGTTACAGAATTCAATAGACGTTAGAAAGTGAATGCCTTGAGTTGCAATTCTCAATTGTGCATAACACCTATTCAATCGCTTCGAATGAAATCTCATTACTGCTTTGCAGCAGAAATAAGACAGTGTCTAGACCCAACTATGTGAGCTCACAAAATACCCTACCGGTATAAAATGTCACGTCACCGAACCTAATAAAACTGATGCAGGAATGGGCGAACGAAACTACATATGGTTGAACAAATTTCATTTAATAGATCAGTCTTACTATGGCTGAGAGCTAATAAAGGATTGATTCAAAGGAGATGAATAAGACTTGTTTCATTTCTAGTGATTGTTAATATTAAAAAGAAGGAAAATAAATTCAGTGCCTTATAAATGTGAGGATGGGCGTGTGAATTTAAAACACATAGATACAATTGCAGGAAACCATCTACACATATAAACGATCAAGGCACAAGAAATACTTAATCTTATTTTTATTTACTGTCTTCAATAGCAAATAAACATACATCCACTAATGCTCATAGGTATCAACAACGCCAAGCTTCTACTTATAGCTGAAGAGTCCTGTTCCAAAGAAGGAGCTCCAAAGAGCTGTGGAACCATTGCAGGGATATATCTCATTCATGAGTTAAAAAACTAGAAAATTTGAACCTAAAATAATTTATAAGCCACCTGTTGATTAACTATGAGTGGTAAATACTCTAGGTATATTTTTTGTCTTGCAGGATGGGCTATTATCACCATCATTTTACACTAGAAGTGTAAAGGGTGGTTTAATAACAAAACAGTTTTTAATTTAAATAAAATCTATTAAACCTTATGCACACAAAAAGGCAGATAATTTATAACCAAAACATAAGGAATGTTTTATTCTTTTGCTGAAACACTACTTTTGAAATAATTGAAATGAATATTCTAAAAATCACGATGACAGCTATATATGATATTCCGCATAATGAATATAAAAATATTGATTTCAGTCAGCTTGTACACTTGTTTAAAATAAATATTGTTTTTCTCTGCATATTATTTTATATTTTCAAGTATTTTGCTTAGTTATTTAAAAATATAACAAGCAATTACAACAGAATAATACTTATGAGTCTACTAGAAATATTTAGAATGAAATAAGACTGAATAAACATGTTATTAGCATTTTTAATTTGGCACATTTAATGATCATACTTAATACACATTTGTATGACTCGTCACAGCAAAAATTATATGTATGTAGAAAAACAAGTTTCAGTAAACAACACATTAGCTAAACATGCATTACGTATTTCCTGATTACTTGCTTAATTTTTATTTGGTGTTTTATAAAATTTATTCGAAATGTGTTTAGTCAAACTTTCCATGTTTGTTAACAAATAAGCAAATTGTGAAAGCTAAAAGTTGGAGTCTTGATAATAATATGTAAAGATTTGATCACATCACTGTGTGATAATTTAACATATTATTATAAGGTGTTTAGGTATGAAGTTACGTTATTTCGTTTGAATTAGTATTTTTATTAGTTAAGTGTTTCTATCAATTTTGATATGTTGGATATATATTTGTAGGTTGTACTCACGTATGGGTAGCAGAGGTTCGGTACTGGCGTCGTCTGAACGATGCTGTTTGAGAATGGCTGAGAGCCAGGCGTGTAACTCCTGTTCGTTTTCTGCAACAACGCAGAATTGCTCCTCTCGTGTGAACAGGGCGATCACGTGCTTTTGCTTGAGGTCCAGCCTCCGAGTAATGTTGTAACAGCTCTTGAGAGGCAGCACGCGCTTTGGGGCCGCACTAGCTCGAAATTTCTTCTCAGATTCGTAATACTCAAGACGTGCCGAACAGTCTGCGGTCTCCGCGCGCAACACAAAGTATTTCTTCTTCATATTTTTTAACTTACGCAGGTGGCCCTGGCGCACCACGGCGCCCGCGCCCGCCCCCGACATAGCTCCCTGTCTACAGACACTCGCACATGCCAACCGATAACCTTGAAGTTGTTTACACCCGATGATGAAAGTCACCCGAATAGTAATACGGTTAAACGAGCGCCCTCACTAAAAATACGCAGTATCTTCACCATAAAGTGCGTAAATGCAGGTTCGTCTGGCAAAACGACCGCCGTAACGAATCGTCCCGCGCGCTTCCATATGACAATTTATTCCGTGGGCCGCACACCACCGATTCTGCACCCGCACACCACGATAACACCGCTGACGAAAAATCTTATCTTTGCAAAATTATCAAAATACATCACAACAAACACTTTTCGATACGTAATTTAGTACGCTCACTATTATACTCGGTCATTCACAGATACTCGGGTTTAGAAAGTTTAGAAAGAGATAAAATCATTCATAGTAAACGTAATCCGCACCGCACGCCCTTCCGCAGGTACGCAGGGCATGGAAGTCATGCCGTACTCATGCCGCCTCATGCCTTGCGACATCAAAACACAGATTCACATGTTATCAGTATCATACACAGACGCAGCGCTCGTTCCTGCTGCAAATTATTAAGAGCAATTTATTTACTCGCTACTGTTTGTATGTTTAAGCACTTGATACATAAAAAGTGATGTATTTGTACCAGATTTTATTGGCTCTTCACTATTGCGTGTCATTTATTTGTACGGCGAAATAGTAGTACTACTCTGCTATGTATACGATACGCGCCGTTATCGTTATGTATTTGCATAGATTATACACTTAATATATTCGAGATAGATGCGCAACTCTCATTTTTATTTTTGCTTTAGTTAAAGCCCGGTCCAGCAGGCGTCGCTACGGTCGATTATTAGTCTCCCTACCCCCCACCAGGTGGCTTTTTTAGTAATTTTAATATATTTAATAACTCTCTTTATGAAAAAATCTCATCGTTTAGAATCGCTGAAATTCCCGGTAGTACTTATGAGATATTAAGGAATGTTTGATTGTGTTCAGCATTCTAATCGATAAGATCTTTTCATACAGAGAGAAAACAGTTTTTTAAAATAAAAAGCTGTAATTCTCTGTAAGCTATTTAATTTCCCTATATTACAAACAAATTTCTGTTAAAAGATTGTATGAACGTACAATTGTATAAAATTTCGAATAACAATAACTCCTCTAGATTAATCCTACTAGCGTACACATTAAATCGAAAGTTATCTAAAAGTTAATTAAGTCTAGATAATCAAATCATTCAATGTCAATTAAGTCATTTGTGCGAAATATAAACATGTCAGCTTTCCATTACAAACATAGTAGACAATTTGAATTAAATTTAATAAATTTGTTTCTTAACGATAGCAGTTCTTGCTTAAAGTTGATCGTGACAGATCATGACCTTGTATGAAAATATTACATCTATAAACACTACCTATGCTTCGTCATACAATAATTGTCATTTAAACTAGCATTGTAGAGATAATACACACACTAAAGTGAATACTAAATTATTCTTAGCATTCTTATAAACATTTAGAAATTTAAGAAACGATTAACCCACAATCATGTTCATAACATGTGACATTTTGTTCTGCACAAACGTTTTATTACATGATTTGAAAAACAAAAAATGTTTAAAAAATGTAATGATGATTTAAAGTACTCTTAAATATTGATAGTTTGTACTTAATGACGCTTATAGTAATCTTAGACATGATTACATTAGTTATACTTTTATTCCCTATCTAAATTATTTCTATTCTGACGTTTCTGATGCTTTAGCTTTGGTAATACTAGATGAAACAAACAGCAGATTGAAAGAAAATCATCTTAAAGTTAATTACATTCATTACAAACCATTAGTTTACATTTTGTTACAAAAGAAACTGGTGTTCGTTACATGCAAATGAATTATAAACATACACATGCAAACATAAAATGTAAATTTATCTTTTAATCCAAATTAAATGTACACTAATATTACATCTAAATAATAGAAAGGGTTTCGAAAATTTTTATTGCACTCAACAGCAGACGAGCACGCAACCCGGCCCATGATAAGTGGTCACCAGTGCTTATAAACTTCAGCAGTGCCATAGGGGTTGCTGTCTATCACTTAAGTTTTAATAAATTATTAATATACTCAGTCACAAGCATATTGATTTCACATAATGAAAATGTAAGAAACATAATCATGTTTGGGCATTTTCATTTATATCTGCTCATACAGAAAACACAACTTAGCAAATATATTCCACAGTTAATCTAAATAATTGCAAATAATGCTTTTAAAGACCGTTGACTTTTGATCATTAATTAAAATCATCTTCTCGTAGAATTTACAAAAGGTTATTTACAAAAATTTATATCAGTATTTTCATATATTACTAACTTACTAATTACAACTATTCAAACGTAATACTATAACTATAAGAACTAAACAACCTATTTTAAAACAAAATTGGCATCAATTTAGTTCTTATGAACTATTTCAATTATTAATTTATCAATTATAAACATATTTAAAAAAAATTAAGATCCCTTGAGAGTTCACGTTCCTTGCTGAATCAGTTTCTCTTCTGAAACGGAGAAACAAAGTATCTTAAGTATGTAACAAATATTGAAAAAATACGACCATGAAAAATTTAGTGTTAATGTAATCTTACTTACAAATTAATATATTACATAACACGTTCTGGTTCAAATATAGTGCATCAATCTTTTCATGTTTCAGACATTTTAGTGCTCCTTATAATTTTTCCATAAAATTTTGTCATTATCAAACCTTTGTCTACAAAAATAAAAACATTATTTTATATTGGGTAGAAGGATGAACGTGGTCACAGGCCACTTGGTGTAACTTAGTTATCAAACACCAGGAAACAAAACGTGAATGCCATCATCTAACTTTGGATGTGAGATCAATTGTGCTGTATTTTATTTAAACAGGAAAGCATGACTGATTGATCATTCCAAAAAACTAGTTCGGGCCCACTTGACAATAAGCATATAATACGCTGAGTTGCAAAACATAAATACTTCCACCCACTCGAGACAATTTTATTATCTGAGGTGTGTGTGTGATAGTACGAGACTTAATACCGACTGTTTTGATCAAAACTTAACATATATGATAGCTAGGCAGCAGAAATAGGAAGGACCATTAGTTGGTGCTAATTCATTTAATTATATTATGAATAATAATTCTGTTAGCAAATAATATACCGGGAAAATAGTGTAAACTCACCGTTATCAAGGCATCCGAAATAGCATTTCATTTTCGATCTTCGAGGCATGCTGATTTTTAATAATAAACTTTCTGTAAGAAATGAAAATAGTTACACAGGCTTACGAAACGCTAACGAAGAAAAAAGTATTGGAGCCAAGTTATGTCTAAAGAGAATTCAAAACAGAGTTTCTCAATGTCTAATCGTCTAATATTCTCATAAAGCTAAAAGTTGCTCTAAATTAATACTACAACGTAAAATAACTCACACCAAGACCAAAAAAAAACGATTTAAAAAATTAAATCGTTACGACATTTTGAAAACTTTTTTTTTTTTTTGAGATTGTTTTACGGCCCTGGAATTTTGAAAACTTCAAAGCAGTGTTTCCACTTACGTTTTTTTTAACACATTTTACCCTAGTTTCTTTTGAATTTATCCCTAAAATTTCCTAGACAACTTTCATAAATCCTTTATATAGAAAGCATAAATAAAATACAGAAAATAAACCACAGCATATTATTTAATGTAGGTATATATAATATAAACGCCCCCAGAAGATCATAGATCTATAGGATTAGAATTTTCAACGAAGTCGACGCATTGCTTTTATATTCTTTTACTGCACGCAACCTAACACTGTTCGGCTCTAAAATTGAGCAATTGTTTGCTGGCAAAGTTGGGAACTTTCTATGAAGCAAGCCGTTCAGGGTTTCATTAGAAAGCCTGTTTCTTTTGTCAGTTTTTACATTTGAGAACACTGAATAATCTTTCCACCTCAGTCTTTGAAGAAGGAACTGCTAGCAAAAGAGAAATGACAATTACAAGGTTTTCGTAAATGAAATTACCATGATAATCTTTCATGGTACATGAAGTACCTGTATATTACAATACAAGTAAGTTCTGGTGACATCAACGAAAATAGGTAAATAAAAATTTGGCGGATTATACTTATTGGGATTCTGGGGAATCCCTAAGAAAAAAGCAGTGGCTTAATCTATGATTTACTTTACTAGAGGGTTACTGTTGAATCAAACCTTCTTTATAGTTTTTATACAAAACTCTGTTTTATTCTTTTACTTGTCAACTCGACTTAATGTCATTCTCTCTCCATAAAATAAAATGTTCATTGTTTTACTTTAATTATCGTTTATTTTAAAATTCACAACAGTTACTAGTATAGGCTTTGCTTTTTACCCCGAAATATCCTAAATCCTGGTATTTTTTAAATTGTCTTTAACATCCAAAATATCAGCTATTTTTCCCTAAAAAAGGGAGAATTCCCTAAAAGTGGAAGCACTGCTTCAAAGTACGCTAACATTTTTTATTGAGTCAGAACTCGTATCTGCCATCTAGTGAGTTTATTAGTTCATTAAGGCCAAAACGTTTCAAAAATGACCTCGCCGGTTCCTAAAGATGACGCTAGTTGTATGTTCTTTTCCTTTGTATGGGAGTTGCACCCCCCTGTGTATTTGTCGCGTTACGCGCAACCAATCGTGTTCCTTCACTGCGGCTTTGATGTTGTGCAGTATCTGTATTTCTTCGAATAGATATCTTGCTCTCTTGCTTCGACAATAACCAATCAAACTACGTAAAACTCTTACCGTCATTGGAAACATAAAAAATCCATTTTATTACACACCAAAAATTTATTGTTACAGAAAAATGTAATACGGTGGTAAAATTTTACATTAATAAAATTAATGTTGTGCTGACTGAAATGGCAATGTTTACCGAAAAATGCTTTATTACAACTTCGTAAATATTCTTAGTTTTGCGAAATCGCTTAAACAACCGATCAGTTCATTATTTATGTCATTAATTTTGTTATTTTATTTAATAGAAAAAAACAAATAAATATTTCTGGAACCGACAATTTCAAAAATGTTGTATGCTGTATTCAAAAATTTTATAAGAAGATGAACTTGGAACAAGATGTTGGTAATTGAATATTCGGATACACTAGATCTTCATCTAAAGCGTAACACTCGTCTGTTCCGAATTTTACTTTTCTGCAAGTACAATGAGAGAGTTTACTACACATGCAATTTTAATTTAATAAATGTAAAAGATTGTGACGATCTTTTAATGTTTGTTACTGGATCGCGCGTAAGCCGTTGAACATATTTGGATGAAGCAAAGAAGATAAAAGTGCTTCACGTTGAGCTGGTCACCTTTTTATTGCCTTTCTCAATTAAGTTATCTCTCATCTGAGGTTAGGAACTGATTTCTTGACTAAACAAGTGGTTACAGAAAAACATTAACGAAACATTATGGTTTATTTTTTATTTTTATTGCTTAGATGGGTGGACGAGCTCACAGCCCACCTGGTGTTAAGTGGTTACTGGAGCCCATAAACATCCACAACGCAAATGCGCCACCACCTTGAGGTATAAGTTCTAAGGTCTCAAGTATAGTTACAACGGCTGCCCCACCCTTCAAACCGAAGCGTATTACTGCTTCACGCAGAAATAGGCAGGGTGGTGGTACCCACCCACGCGGACTCACAAGAGGTCCTACCACCAGTAATTACGCAAATGATAATTTTGCGGGTTTCATTTTTATTACACGATGTTATTCCTTCACCGTGGAAGTCAATCGTGAACATTTGTTCAGTACGTATTTCATTAGAAAAATTGGTACCCACCTGAGATTCGAACACCGGTGCATCGTTCAATACGAATACATCGGACGTCTTATTCGTTAGGCCACGACGACTTCTAGACTGCACATTAGACATAGACTACACGATGTTATTCTATCGTCAGAGAAGTCGTAACGTCCTTGCTCATCACTTGATAGAAGCACATTAGATATTTTACTTGTTTACCTGTCAAAAACAGGGTTAGTTACAGTTCCCGTCAGAAAAATTCTTTTAGCTTGAATTTGTGATTTGAAAAATGTATCCGAGTATATTTTATTTACTGCTGACACTGTGGTTCAATATGTCCGACCGACGTCAGTCATTCATGAATTCATTGTCAGTCAGACATTTGCCTTGCTAAAAAAGGTATAGAAATAAAATATTATTGGCAAAAATCATATCAGTTCTATTGACATAATTGAGTGCCAATATAGGATATGCCTTTTCACGTTCGTTTACGTCTTAACATAAATTAAAACTCGCTCAAAACTCATTGTTCCGCTCAATCTGTTTACATTGTGAAATAAGTTCGTATTGTGAATTTCACATTTCAAGCGAAAGGTGCTTTTTGTGGTAGGCTCATAAGCTCGTTTGGTGATCAACCGTGGCTTTGTACTGTTATGTGATTTTAGTTACGTTAGGAGTTATACAGTCGCCTTTTCGTTCATTGTCATTGTCAGTACACATCGAAAGTTGCGATATAATGCGCTTTCATAGTTTTGTAACAATCGTCGGACCGTAGAAAACGTGTCAACAGCCATATCCTCTTGAGTTTCATGTTGTGCGGTTGATAATACTGGTATTTGTATGTGGCAGGTACCAGAAATGTGTGTAGACGATGTTCAGTGATCATTAACAAGGTGAGATCACCACACGCCATCTCACAATAATTGTATTAATAAGGATTTATTGCGGCTCCCCGTATTGAATGCCTTGATGTTTATGTTCGATATTGTATTATGGCATCTGGTACATCATCCTTGGAGAGTAATGGAAGTAATGGTGAGATTCATTGGTGTTATTTATTCTTAGAAATACAAGTATTCTTGCAATTTTGAATTGGGCACTTTGAAAGCCCATGTAAAAGGCCTGTGGTCAGCTGTGGATGTCTCAGCTATGTTTGAAAAAAGTTGAATAAATAAAAAGATTCCCTAATTTAAATAACACTTTAAATTAATATAGTTGTAAATGTCCTGTTTTCAATCATGTAGGCAGTAAACAGCAAATTGGTAATAGATTGTATATAAATATAAAAATGTCTATTATAAACTTGTGCAACATTTAACAATCCTTGTAATGATTTCTTGCATTTTGGCATTGATCAGTATTCAGTATTATGTTGTATGGTTTGGGAGCTGTCTGTTTTTTTATAAAAATAAACTGTGATTTTATGACCAGTATTTTATGAATGTATAAATGTTTTGAATCAACAGAGGTAGAGCCCATACTTGTAACATGAACAGGACTTGTATTACAGTTAGGTAGGTAGTTAGGCAGAAGTGGTGGTCTTAAACATTAGTGATATCAATGAAAATGCAATATGCAAATCTACTATGAAAACAAAATAATGTATAAACACTCTAACTATATTAAACCATGTTAATTGCAGAGTCAATATCACACAGTTATGTAAGCACGGAACGACACAATAACACACAGCTACCTACAATACCAATACCGATTGACTATGAGGTTATATCAAACAACCAATGTTATGACAAACAGAACTACACGGTGAAACCTCATGGTGCTCACGTTATGAGCGGCCCATATGAGTCACTGCAGTATGATGTGATAAACAAACAGACAAACGAAAGTTTGAAACAGCAATGTGAGAAGGCATTGCATGATTTGAATCAGCTAAGGAGACAGCATACGGAGACTTCCAGACGCTGTGAGCATGTAATGAAGGTAAAATATGCAGTAGCTTAAGTTAGGTGAACACATTATTTTGACCATATTTTGAAACCGATTAATACTGTGAGGTGGATTTAGAATAATTTGGTCAGAGTAAGTTAGGTACTTGGTGCCTGATTTCATTGATTGAAATTGAATTAATTGACAGAGAGACATTAGAATTTTTGCACTACAGATTAATTCCAACTAATTAATTCCAAGGATTAATATTAGAGGGTGGTGATTAATGTACAAGTTTCTTTTTCTACATCTAACAAAATAAAACCTGTCTGAACAATTATAGACACATGTAACTCATATCCAACTTTACAGCACATCTAAAAATTATTTCCACAAATACATCAGCTGCATTAATAAATCTAGAATAACTAGACTAAACTTCCTCTGTTCTTCATATGCAATACCACCGGTAGGCAGATATAGTATGAGAGCTGATAGACACTAAGAATGCTCCTTGAGACATAAGATTGGATACCTTACCAATTCAGAAGACATCTGCTAGGGTTCACAACATCCATTAATTTCTAAATCCTTGTTTTTTGTAGGAATTGGAATATTTCCGAGGGCAGCACAGAGCAGCTATGAATCAACTGGAGGTCTCAGCTCAAGAGGCTAGTAGTTTACGTGGAAAATACGGAGATCTGCTCAATGATAACCAACGGTATGACTTACATTTAGTATTGTCTTTCTTTGTCACAAGTCATATTTCTCTGTTTCTTTTAGTAATATTTTGTCTATTGTTATATTTATGGTACTAAGTTTTATCACTATTTTCCCACACACTCTTCTGTCTTCTGTTTATTTTTAACTCATTTCTTTACATTTTAAGTTTGGAGCGTGAGGTACAACACTTACAGCAGAGCAGTACACCGGAAGGCAGCTCTGATGCATTGGTACACACACTCAGGAAATATGAAGCCTTAAAAGAAGAGTTGGATTGCTTTCAAAAAAGGTGATATGTTTTTTTTTATTGCTTAGATTGATGGACGAGCTCACAGCCCACCTGGTGTTAAGTGGTTACTGGAGCCCATAGACATCTACAACGTAAATGCGCCACCCACCTTGAGATATAAGTTCTAAGGTCTTAGTATAGTTAGAATGACTGCCCTACCCTTCAAACCGAAACGCATTGCTGCTTCACGGCAGAAATAGGCGGGGTGGTGGTACCTACTCGCGCGGCCTCACAAGAGGTCCTACCACCACTGTTTTGTAGACAAATGGTAGTGCATACACTGTTTTGTAGACAAATGGTAGTGCATACACTGTTTTGCACATTATAGTTTGATTTCGCTTATAAATTCTGACATTAGATGTAATAGGTCTTGGAAATTTGAGTTTCTAGTGACTACCACAGTGATCGGGTTTGTCCACAGTTTGGAATCAGTATCTTTGTGAAAAATATTTAATGTTCAGTCTGGATGTTTGTTTTTTTGTCCTATTTGTATTACATCCCATAATTTAGTTGAAGATCCCAGCTTGGGGCTGTTGAATGAATGATGAATAATAAGTTTTTGATTTTTTTTTAAACTTATGAAACTAAAGGTTTCAAAGAGTAAAACTGACTTTATGTTTGTTGATTGTGAAAAGGACTAATAGCTACAAAATACATATTCTAATGATTAGCTAAGTTGATTACAATATATTGTCTGATCAGTTTAATTGTGTTACAGATATGACGATTTAATAGAGAATCATAATGCGACATTGGAGAAGCTTCGGATCCTGCAAGAAGAGAACAGCCGTCTGAAGACTCAGTGCCATGAGTTGACGCAGGAGAGGAATGCTGTGGTGAGCTGAATCATATACACGTGTGCACTCGTGGGATAGCACTGTTACGTGCAGTGCTCATGCACTCTATGTTTGAAACTGACCTTACCGATTACCTCACGGTCACCTCGACGAGCATATTAACCCATAGACACAGCCCACTGAGTTTCTCGCCGGATCTTCTCAGGGGGTCGCGTTTCCGATCCGGTGGTAGATTTTGTGAAGCACTGCCCTTGCTAAGGTCAGTGTTAGCATCACTCCGGTTTGAGCCCCGTGAGCTCATCTACTAGTTAAGGTTACACTGATATAGCCTCTCAAGGCTATCAGCTTAGGTAGGAAAAAAAAAACCGATTACCTTCTGATAGCAGTTTACCTGATGTTGATGACACAACAGCTGATTTTAAATTGCTTAACAAACGATTACCCTTTGAGATCGCAATGGGTGTGCTGAATATAGATTCATAAATCTATTTATTCAATTATGATTTTAAAAATAATTACCACATACAAAAAAAAATGTGTGCGTGTACTAGTGTACACACGTAAGAAGTGAAACTTGTTTATGGCCTTATTTTTCGAAAAATGATCTACATGCAACTTTCTAGAAATTGGTTAAATAAAGTTAAATTAGATAAAGTTTAAACAAAAGGATTTTATTATCATAGACATGAATACAAAAAAGTTAAATTAGATAAAGTTTAAACAAAAGGATTTTATTATCATAGACATGAATACAAAAAAGTTAAATTAGATAAAGTTTAAACAAAAGGATTTTATTATCATAGACATGAATACAAAACAGATGGCGCGTAACGGAAAAATGTGACGCGTAACCGAAAAATGTGACGGTAAATTTTTTTCCAACGCCGATAAGGAAGTTTCACTTCAAAAGATGTGTGGTGTCGTGGGACACCGGATAGGAACGAAGTTCCTTATTATAAAAATATTAATTTCAAGTTCTATTCGAGGCATAAAGAAAATAAAACTGGAGGTTTCGCAACAACCCACGGTCATGCGGTAATGTGCGAACTTATTGTGGTACACTTCATTTACGGTTGTTTGCTTAAGAGTTAGTGTATTGCGCAAACGAATGCTCTGAGATCGTGGTCAATGAATGATAAAAAAATATGTTACTTTTTGTACGTTATTACAAAGTTAAGTCGTACACTGTGTGCATTACTAATAAAATCTTACGTTACGGACATTTTTTCCCGGTTTGGGTACCCCTCCGCATCGTCCCATAACAAACTTCTTTCCAAAAATAAGACAAGTTACTTACTAACATATGGATAATGTATCAATTTTTTAACTGAAAATTCAGACTGGACCAAACACAGTGTCCAATTGAAGGTATATCTGTCTATGGAATTCTTAAGTCGCTGTACGATGGAGAGTTCGCCTGATGTGTCTGTGTCTGTTCGTTGAGATCCGGGAGCGCAACACGCTGAAGCAGCAGGTGGCGCACGTGGTGCGGCAGTGGGAGACCGGCGAGCGCGCCGACATCAAGCGCCTCACCGACGAGCGCAACGCCGCCATGGCAGAGTACACGCTCATCATGAGCGAGAGGTAACACACGCTTTTTCTTTTTTTATTGCTTAGATGGGTCGACGAGCATACAGCCTATCTGGTGTTAAGTGGTTACTGGAGCCCATAGACATTGACAACGTAAATGCGGCATCCACCTTGAGATATAAGTTCTAAGGTCTCAAGTATAGTTACAACGGCTGCCCCACCCTTCAAACCGAAACGCATTACTGCTTCACGGCAGAAATAGGCAGGGCGGTGGTACCTACCCGTGCGGACTCACAAGAGGTCCTACCACCAGTAATTACGCAAATTATATTTTTACGGGTTTCATTTTTATTACACGATGCTATTTTCCTTCACTTCATAATACGTATTTCATTAGAAAAATTGGTACCTGCCGGCGAGATTCGAATACCGGTGCATCGCTATATACGAATGCACCGGACGCCTTATCCTTTAGGCCACGACGACCCTAACTCGCACTTTCTGTTCTCCCAGGGATACAGTTCACAAAGAGATGGAGAAGTTATCCGATGACCTGCAGGGAGCTATGAAAAGGGTGTCCGCTTTGGAAGCTGCATTACAAGCATCCAGGGAACATCACAGGGCCACAGCGTTGCAGGTGCCTCATTTAATTTTACAATAGAGAGTGGGGACGGTCTTGTCACGTCGACCCCAACATTGTCATAAATATTATCCTCACGTACTAACAGCTCAGACATAGGTCAGTGAAATATTAATAAACTAGTTGACCCGGCAGACTTTGTAGTGCCTCAATCGATAAATAAAAGACTTAAACATTTGTATAACATAAAATTGAAACAAATAAAATAAATCCGTCCGACGGGGGACATATCAAAGGGAAAACAAAATTGATTTTTTAATTTAATTCCGAATATTTTCATATTAATCCACCTTTTAAACCTTCTCTGGACTTCCACAAATAATTCAAGACAAAAATTAGCCAAATCGGTCCAGCCGCTCTCGAGTTTTAGCGAGACTAATAAACAGCAATTAATTTTTATATTTATTATTATTAATAGACTAGCTGTACGCGTCCGCTTCGCTGGGCATTTAAAATTAACATTATTATTTCTCACCATTATCATCCCCGCAACTGGTGTAGGGAGTTCAACACTCATATAAATATTAGCCTATCCATTACGTACATGTATTTTCTACATGAATACCAAATTTCAAGTCAATCGGATGCATGGTTCAGTAGTTATAACGGAACATCCGTAAAAACCACTGTAGATTTATATATTAGTATAGATTACTCGTTATGTCTTAACGTATGCAAAGGTGTTCCTTCCCGTATAAGTTGGTACATTGAGCCCGTGGTCCGCAGGCCGAGAGTCTCCGGCGCGAGGTGGAGTGCGCGCTGTCGGAGCGGGACCGCGCCCTCAAGGAGTGCTCCGCCACCAGGTACGTTGCGCCCTCTGCTGCTAGGCCGTCGCGGGGTGTGGGCAACCCAACTGTCTAAAGTATCCGGCAGGACTTTTTTGCAGGAACGCGAGGAGTGAGGTTGTGTGATTTGTTTTTTTTTGTCTATTTAGTGTTTCTTCAGGCTTAAATGTGTAATAACGGTGGTTTATTAACTGTTTAATATCTGTGTAAGTGCACAAATGTGGGAAAATGAAACAAAGCCGCTGGACGTAACTTCTCGGGATCCTCTAAAAAGTCCATTGAAAAAATCTCAGTAAATGACCACCGTTTTACTAAGATTATATTTCATCCCATATCATCTCATTTCATTTAATTTCATCCCAGTTGATTAATGTCTCAAATTAATCATTTTCATTTCATTTCACACCATACTACCATTTTTCATAAAAATAAGAATATAAATAAAAATAAGACATGACTTAAAGGTCTTAGATACCAGGTCATAAAATCCCTTAAAAAAAAAGTATCCGGCATCAGGCTTGTGCATGTGTCTCCCGCCTTACAGTATCCCGCTAGAGCCCTTATGTGAAGTTGTTATGTCCTGTCTACGTTGCCCGAGATCGGCCAAGCCCTGGTGCTCAGAGACTGCCGTGTCCCAGAGAGGCCACAAGCAGGCACGTTTGTGGGTCTGTGGGTGGGAGCGTCGTGTCTAACATACTGGATATGGATATCTTAATGATATTATTACGGAAGAGATATTTGTATAAAAAGGAAATGATTGATTTATTGATTGAAAATTCTATTTGCAAAAAATATTGTGCAAAGGCGAACTTAACGCCATGCAGGCATTCTCTTCCAACTAACCTACGTTGATGAAGTGAAAGATTCAAGAAGTGCGTAGCTGTGATGAAGTTAATACATGGCGATAATTTAAAGAATTATAGTAGATATGAGTAAAAATAACCACTAGATTATAACTACATTGCCAAAATAAATACATAGATACATACATACAAATACATACAAAATACGTGAATGAAATGAAACGATCTTTTTCTCCTACCTACGCCGAAAGTTCAGTTTTCGTCCCGCTGTACAGGGAATGTCCAGCAGTGGGCAGATAAAGGCTGATGATGATGATGATGATTATGATGATGTACAGGGAAAAAAATGTGTAACTTTTCTTCCCTGGGTACAAGTGCACATGCGCGTTAGTGTCTACGTCTGCTCTCACGCACCTAAAATTCTCTGCCATTGTTGTGCTCGGGTAATTTGCAATATTGTGTTTAAGTGTAAAAGTGAAATAAACTAAAGGCAATAAAATTTAATAGTGAAGGATTAAACAAAGATGAGTTCATCAGACAGTTCTTATTCAATTAGTAGTAGTTTATTTAAAAATTAAAAAACAGTTAAAGTTAAATTGTTTTTTTTATGAGTGGGACCGGGACTTCGCCCCTGGACCCCGGCTCGGTACTCCACGGGTGCTAAGTTTTTTACAATGTCGAACTTTCGGCCAAGAGAAAAAATTGTATGTGCACCGCGGGAAAAAAGTAGGACATCTCACTATTACTCACGTGTACTATTACTTATTTATTTAATAAATATAATTTGCTGAATCATTGTGGCTATGTTGACGAGGCTTGGAGCTTCTAATTGAATGATCTGTTTACGTTCCAGACAAGACAACTCGGCGTACCACCACTTGGGGCTCGCAAGTGGAGTCGGCAATGACGGGTTTCTCAACGGGCAGCACTCCAACGATCCCTCCCTGGACAAACTGCAAGGTGATGCTCCCCCAGCTGCTCCCGGAGACACTCTTCAAATGTTTCTATAAGTAATAGAGTTCATAATGCAGTGACCTGTGCATTGCTGGGTACCTAAATGTTGTAAGATCATGAATGGATGCACAATTTCATTAGGTTTTATTGTATTAATACAATTGAAGACTTGAATGGTTGAAGGGTTTAAGTACAATTTTTAAGATTTTTGAGTTTTTATATTGAACGCAGGTGCTATGTGCCTATAAACCATATTAGACCTTAAAACTCCGTACTTAAAGGCTATTTTTAGAAATTGCATGTGATGAAGGAGTTATGTACGAAGACAAATTACAAGTGACAAAAGTTTGTTGCTCGTTTTCTCAAAATTAACATATTGTATCATATCCCTTTCATCGAAGGGTTGGGTAGCCGTCGTAACTATACTGAGACCTTACAACTTATATCTCGAGGTGGGTGGCGCATTTACGTTGTGGATGTCTATGGGCTCCAGTAACCACTTAACATCAGGTGGGCTGTGAGCTCGTCCATCCACCTAAGCAATAAAAAAAAAAAAAATGTGTGCGTGTACTAGTGTACACACGTAAGAAGTGAAACTTGTTTATGGCCTTATTTTTCGAAAAATGATCTACATGCAACTTTCTAGAAATTGGTTAAATAAAGTTAAATTAGATAAAGTTTAAACAAAAGGATTTTATTATCATAGACATGAATACAAAAAAGTTAAATTAGATAAAGTTTAAACAAAAGGATTTTATTATCATAGACATGAATACAAAACAGATGGCGCGTAACGGAAAAATGTGACGCGTAACCGAAAAATGTGACGGTAAATTTTTTTCCAACGCCGATAAGGAAGTTTCACTTCAAAAAAACCACTCATGTTTTCAATTACTAACGAAATTGAAACTTATAATTAAAGGCATGCTGTATGTTCTATGATTGTGACATGTCGACTTGCTTACACTTTGGATCTAAATGTAGTAAATAATGAAAATAAATATAGTAGTATTACTGGAGGCAGGACCTCTAGTGAGTCCGCATGGGTAAGCACCACCACCCCGCCTATTTCTGCCGTGAAGCAGTAATGCGTTTAGGTTTGAAGGGTGGAGCAGCCGTTGTAACTATACTGAGGCCTTAGAATTTTTATCTCAAGGTGGGTGGCGGGTTTACGTTGTAGATGTCTATGGGCTCCGGTAATCACTTAACACCAGGTGGACTATGAGCCCGTCTACCCATATCTTTCTTTCTGGTCGTTCCCTCAATGCTGAGGATCGTGACTGTATGTCAATCTTCTCCACTCGGTCCGGTTCTGCGCCATATCTACCGCTCCCTGTATCTGGCCTCCAGTCACCTCCTTGAGTTGGTCCACCCATCTAGCTGAGGCTCTTTCTCTAGCGCGCTTCCCCTTCATTTGTCCGAGAACGATGAGTTTCTCCAGGCGGTGCAATGGGGATCGCATTATGTGCCCAAAGAAACTCCGGATCCTTTCCTGGCACGTAGTCAGCAGGCGCTTGGTGACTTTCAGCTATTCGAGGATGGGGACATTAGTTCTCATAGCTGTCCAAGGAATGCGTAAATAAGCAATAAGTAAAACAATAAATAGTATTATTCTCAAAGATTAGTTTAGTAAGTGTCACGTTACGTTTGGCAGGCATGGTGGTGGACGCGGTGGACAAGGAGCGCGTGGAGAACCTGGAGCAGGCCAACCAGGAGCTGGAGCGCCTGCGCAAGCAGCTGGACGCCGCGCGCGCAGAGCTGGCGCACGCGCAGCGCGAGGCAGAGGTGGGCGCCCCCTTCCCCCTCCCTAGTGCGGCTCCTCTAGTAGTCTACTACAAAATTAAAATGCTTAAAATTTCCAAAACCTCACGAGACCCTTTTTTGAAGTGAAACTTCCTTATCGGCGTTGGAAAAAAATTTACCGTCACATTTTTCGGTTACGCGTCACTTTTTTCCGTTACGCGCCATCTGTTTTGTATTCATGTCTATGATAATAAAATCCTTTTGTTTAAACTTTATCTAATTTAACTTTTTTGTATTCATGTCTATGATAATAAAATCCTTTTGTTTAAACTTTATCTAATTTAACTTTTTTGTATTCATGTCTATGATAATAAAATCCTTTTGTTTAAACTTTATCTAATTTAACTTTATTTAACCAATTTCTAGAAAGTTGCATGTAGATCATTTTTCGAAAAATAAGGCCATAAACAAGTTTCACTTCTTACGTGTGTACACTAGTACACGCACACATTTTTTCTACGACCGCTTGTTATATTAATATAATAAAGCTGAAAAGTTTGATTGTTTGAACGCGCTAATCTCAATAACTTACTAGTCCGATTTGATTCAGTGTCAGATAGCTCATTTATTGAGGAAGGTTATGCTATATTAGATCAATAAAGAATGCGCTGCGAAAACGGTTAAAGTTACTCTAAAATAATGTGACAAAATTGTTCCCTTTTAAAACATTTTATTAATCAAAAACATTTTCATTTTTTACGTAAATGAAGAGGTGAGTAAAATTTAGCGTTATGCCAAAGTAACTTCCACGCGGACAAAGTCGCGGGCAAAAGCTAGTTTTAAATAAAATAATTCTCATAAACTAAAAGTAGGTTTCAATATTTTTCTCAGTTAGGTACCTTCGATACGTTGTCATATTTTAGAAATAAAATTGTTAACCAAAGTGTTACTTCTATACGCATTTTGTTGGCAGGTGTCGAAACGAAGGAGAGACTGGGCGTTTTCTGAACGAGACAAACTGCTGCAAGAGAGAGAGAGCGTTAAAGCGCTGTGCAACCGACTCCGCAAGGTGAGTCGTCGCGGCGCCCCCGGCCCCCAACCCCCCGCCCCCCGACCCGCTGCTAACCGTAGTGTACCCTGCAGGAGCGGGACCAGATGGTGGGCGAGGTGGCGGAGGCGCGGCGTCACGGCAACAAGAAGCACGAGCCCGCGCACGAGCCCGCCAGACTGTTCGACGCCGCGGACCTACAGGTAGCGCCACGTCATAAGTAGTAAAGCTCGCTCACATATCCGGCGAAACCAGAATAGTCCCTTGAGGTTACTGGTAGCTAGGCAGGAAAAAAGGATAAAAATTTTTCCAACAGGATGTAGAATGGGACCTAATCGACGTGGAGCTGAGCGGACTGACTAAAGATGGGGAGCTCGGCTTCGAGTTGGCTGGCGGCAGGGACGAGCCGTACTTCCCCAACGACTGCAGCGTATACGTCACTGCTGTTAAGAAGGGCTCCAACGCTGATGGCAAGATCAGGTTAGCTAGGATTCATATGATTGTTGATTTGATAATGAGTTAGTTAAAATGCTTTTTGATCATAGTGGCCAAGGTCACGTCAGTCGTCCGTCTTTAGACTTAATGAGTCTACCCACTACATCGTTGGCATGGCACGTGACAATGCTAGTCGGTCACAGTACCGTCTAGTGGGCATAGTTACATACTTTTTAATACAAACATTTTGTTTTTCCCTGTCACGTTCCTAGCACGGTCATGGTATGGAACGGCGTAGGGGGCAGACTCCTTTAAGGTCGAAATGTAAACTTATCAATTTTGAAAAAGGAACGTAAGCTTCTATGTGGTGTATTTTTGTATATATACCTATACTTTTTTAAATGTTGTTATATTAATATAAACACTTGTATTTTCACCTCAGCAGCTCAAACATGCGGCTTTTGCTGCGAGACAACAGTGAATAAAACGCGATTTTGATTAGAGCGTGGATTAGCTTTAAATTTTTCAATTTTCAGTGCCACGAATTGACATTGCTCAGCCATAAATTTGAAACATTCGAATTTGACTGTGCTCTGTCTCTTTCACATGCTTATAAAAAAGCGAGTGAAAAAAACAAACCCCTACGAAATATTTGTAATAAAGAATTACGTTTTTATTTAATAGTTATTTCAATCTATTCCTGTTCATTTCTATGTCTGCTAAGTAATATGTGCTGTCACTGCTGAGGTGAAAAGTTATGTGTGCTACACGAGAGTAAAGTCTTTTGCATCTCGTGCTGTTGAGTCCCTCACTATACTCGGGATTCTAACTTTGAATCATGCGCTATGCTCGTGGATCAATCATAGATTCTTTCGCTTGCTCGGGACTCAAAATCAGCACTTGAAACAAAAAACAACTTTGCTCTCTTGTTGCACAAATAACTATTTCTATTTCTATATAGAAATATTTTACATGAGCGTGTTGTGCGTGCGCAGAGTGCTGGACCGCATCTCGTCGGCGTGCGGCACGGGCGCGTGGAGCAGCGCGCGCGCGTGTGCGGGCGCCCTGCTGCACGCGCTGGCGCACGCGCCCGCCCCGCTCGCCGTGCAGCGGGCGCGCGCCCTGCACCGCACGGCGCTGCTGCCCCACGCCGGCGGACTGGCGCTGCAGCACGGTCACTACCGACACTACCACATTACAACTTCTTATATACTTTCAAAAGGGCTTGCTTTGCTCTGCTAGAACTCACTATTGACTGTCAAGTGAGCTGTCATATAGGACTTTAATTTTTTGCTATCAGCCCACAGCTAGTTTTTTTTTATTGCTTAGATGGGTGGACGAGCTCATAGCCCACCTGGTGTTAAGTGGTTACTGGAGCCCATAGACATCTACAACGTAAATGCGCCATCCACCCTAAGACACAAGTTCTAAGATCTCAGTATAGTTACGACTGCCACACTCTTCAAACCGAAACGTATTACTGCTTTACGGCAGAAGTAGGCGGCGTGATGGTACCTACCCGTGTGGACTCACAAGAGGTCCTACCACCAGTAAGATCATCACATACTTCCAAAACGGCTTGCTTTGCTCTGGTAGAACTCACTATCGACCGTCAAGTGAGCTATAATATAGGACTTTAATTCTTTGCTATAAACCCACAGACGCCCACTGCTAGACATAGGCTTAGGTCCTTAATGCCTAGTACTAATTGTCGATATACCATGGCAAGCCTCGAATAGAACCTCCAAAAAAATTCAGCGGATATATTCTATTTGATTTCTACCAATACAAAAACTGAATTTTAACTAAGAATTTATTTGCATATAATTGCATAACCTGCCCATCCAAGTGTCAGCATCTCAACATCTCATTTGATACTCGAACCTTATTGTAGTATCTCGTTGACCAGGTATCTTCATCGGCAAGATAGCGAGCAACAGCGCCGCGGCCAAGGACGGCACGCTGTGCGTGGGCGACAGGGTTGTCAGCGTAAGTTGCGTGTGCGACATTAGGGCTGTCAGGGATGTGTAATATCCGAACCAGGCGTGAATCAGGCGTTGTTTTAAATGATTCATTAATAATAGATTGTGACCGAAAATATTAATTCTACATTAAAAAAAAAAAATCTATTCGCCTTGTGAAGTTTAAATTTGTAACATGTCAACTGATGCAAAAACGTAGATAATATTAATCATAAATCATAATACCACAGTTGAAGTGGCGTATCCAAAAAAAAATGAGTCTTATACTTTAAACGACTTATAACTATGTATTATCAGTTTATAAAATTTAAAAAGTTTCTTTTAGTCATACATTAAAATATAAAAGTCGTAAATAAAAAAATTTAAAATACAATTCTTCAATTACATTTTTGGCGTTAAGCGATATATGAAGAATTTTATTTTATAGCCACATCTATTCTCATTATGAGATACAGACTACTACATTTTAGCTACTCATGCACATAATGCAAAAACAATCTAAATTCACTTGAAACAAGAAGTAAGCCGAACCAGATCATACAGGTCGACGTGGTATTTAATTGTACATGTCCGTTCTATCCAGATAAACAACAGATCTCTGGAAGGCATGAAGAGTGTCTCCGAGGCGATGCTGCTGCTGAACGACTGCCAGTACGAGTCCGTCTCCATCACGGTGCTGCGGCCGCTGCACGCCCTCACCGACAACAGGAATAGGTGAGACTACACTCGTATTGCATACTTATTGTTACGCGCTGGGGTTTGGGATAAATATTTTTTTTTACCGAAGTGCAAATTAAAACCTAAGAGTTCGGAATTAAGACATACGGGGGAGCTTTAAAGTTACATCAATCACAGACAAAATGACGGAAAATCGCCTTAGATGGTATGGCCATATCATGAGACGGGACGAAGACCATCTAGTGAAAATCGCATTAAACTTGCCAGAACAAAGAAAGGTAGAGGCCGCCCGCCATCGACCTGGTGGTCAAACATCGAAAGAGACCTTAAGAAAGTCCAATTGCCAAAATCGACAACCCAGGACAGATCAGCCTGGCGCCGTAGAGTTAGGAGACCCGACTTCAGATAACGGGTACCGGGACGGATTAGTAGTAGTAGTACAAATTAAAACTTAGAACACTTACAGATCACTTTACAACTCGTAGTTCGCTGCTTCCGCTTCGCTTCAGGTGATCCGTCCGCTGTTTCGCTTCGAGTAGTTCCGATTACTGACTGACTGCGTGCCATCTCTGCAACGCTTTTATAGCCGATACCACATTCCTAGAATTATCGAGAATATTCCACATATTTCGAGTATTGTGTTTGCGCTATCTGATAATAGATGGCGTTGCACGTCTCGAGCGTTCTAGGTGCTACAAGATCCTTCGATATTCGTTCGACTATTTGACGATAGATGGCGTTACTCTTACCGGCGTAACATTATCATGGCTTTTGTTTTTAGCTTCTACGTAATGGACGTGAGCATTTGCTCACACTTCACGTAACGTACATGTATCGGAACATTTGGAAACCGGTGGTATTTTCTAATTAAGAGCTTGTTTAGGATAAGAAGCGGATATAGCGCGCCCTCTCGTCCGAATGTTAAATGACTGCAATGTAATTACATTCTTCGTTAGTTATTGTTCTTAATAACTTTAAACATATTTTATATAAAAGTTTTTGTCACGTTGTTTGTCCGCGATGAACTTTTAAATTAATGAATCGATTCAAATAAAACTTCGCACACCGTATGCAGGCTAGTCCAACTTTAGAGATAGGATCGTTTTTATTTCTAATTTATAATCACAAAATTGGAACATTAAGTATTGAAATGTTAGTAAAATGTATTGAAATTTTAAACGTTTGATTAATGCTACAATTTAGCTTTATTTTATCTTCTATTTTCTCTATTAGCTTTATTTTATCCCAATCCCATCCCAATTGATTACGGTTTTAAATAAATTAATTTCATCTCATTCCGCTTTATATCATGATTCATAGAACAAAATCTACATGTATCTAATAATTGGTTATTATTATAAATTTGCTACTGGCAATAATGGTATCGCTAAAAGCCAATTCCCATACTCGAAACAAGAAAAAGAAGACCATGTCTACACTATCCTAGAACATTGAAGACAGATGGCGCTAGTGGTACTGACACACTCTACACTAACACAATGAGTGGTGGTAGGGCCTCATGTGAGTTCACATGGGTAGGTTCCACCATCCCGCCTATTTCTGCCGTGAAGCAGTAATGCGTTTCGGTTCGAAGGTTGGGGCAGCCGTTGTAACTATACTGAGACCTTAGAACTTATATCTCAAGGTGGGTGGCGCATTTACGTTGTAGATGTCTATGGGCCAGTAACCACTTAACACCAGGTGGGCTGTGAGCTCGTCCACTCTAAGCAATAAAAAAAAAAGATGCTGCTACTGGTACCGACGCAACTCTACACTAGCACGATGAGTAACCCTGAGCACTTGTCGACCAGGCTGTCCGCGTACGCCAGTTCGTTTCCGGACAACAAGCCGGTGAACATCTGCTCGCAGACCGACGACAGCTACGGCCAGTTCCACGCCGCAGCCGTCGATTCCAAGGTTGGTCAAACGAACACGTGACGACGGTACTGACGTCTGCGGGCACGTTGTGATGTCCATGGACTCCGATAACCGATTAACAGCAAGTGGGCTGTGATTTTGTATACTTCAATCCGCTCTGTACCTTTTTAATATATCTCTAACGAGACTACATAATATATTTTATGGTCATTTGATTACAACTAACAGCACGCTGGCGGCAGCAATTTTGATGGGACTTTTAACTCGAGCTAATTTCCGAAACAGCTGAGTCGAATCTGACGGAGTATTGAAACAGGTTACAGAGAATAAAGTAGGTTCTTATTCTTTTTCTCCACCTTATCCCACTAGGTGGGGTCGGCGCAGCTAATTTTTCTCTTCCATTCTCATCTATAAGCCGTCATCTCAACACTCACTCCTCTCTCTCTCGCATATCATCATTAATAAAGAGAGAGAGAATAACGTAGGTTACTTTGTATATTAGAAATAATTTACGAGGTGCGAGTGAGGCCTCAATGAATTTTAATTTGAAATCTTTTTAATTTGTCACGTGAACGACCGTTAATTGCACAGTCTACAATCATTTGGACACGCAAACAAATCCCACATTCGTAAAACTAGAAATAAATGTAAAAATGGTGTGCGTGCAATTTGGTGCACGTGAAAGAAGTGAAACTTCTGCGGTGTGGTATTATTGTGGTTTTCTTCATTTTTCATCCCTAAGTCAAATTTGTCTTGTAATAGGAAATACTGTGTATAAGAGAAGCGACCTAGCTCGTTTTTTCCTTTCCCTCTCCACGGTCGAGTCGTTCGCGAGACGCTGTCTTATTTTCTCACTCTCGCTCTTCCTAAATTTATATCTTTTCTCTCTAGCCGTAACGAATCTGTCGCGAGCTAAATGTCACTGTTAACGCGCCTAAAGAAGTTTCACTTCAATAAAACATCTTGTTGTTGTTATTGTTCTGAATTGTAATTTAGAGTTGTTTATGTTGTAACAGTTGCATTGCGCGTGTGTGCAGGTGTCGGGGGAGGGGGGCGCGGCGGAGCGGCGCTACGTGTACCACGTGGCGGCCGGCAGCCAGGGGAAGATCGCGCAGGAGCGAGGTTGGTTCACGTTATGCCTTGTCTACACGTGCACAACGCGTGCGCAACACGTGCTGTAGGATTCGAACGTTGACATACTCGCAGTAGGGTTATCAGAGTTACAATCTGTACTTCAAAGCATAGTTAAAATAACAGAAAGAGCGGTAATGAAAGAGTAACAAAACATAAGCCAACGATTTTTAGAATTGTTTTCTGTTTTTTTTGTTTGCATACTGTGTTTGCAGTGCCCCGTCCGTTTGTCGTTAAGGGCGCTTTTCCTGGCGAGAAGTTAAAAAAAAAAACTCGTAAACACACAGAACTCCTAAACTGTTCCCAGTATAACCCTGAAATTTTTATATAGTTTTGACAATTTTAAAATTAATTTGAAAGATAATATTTTTTTATTTCATTATTCAGACTCACGTTGTCAAAAAATCATTAATTACATTTTTAAGTAAAAAGTAGCGATAGCGTAACTGCAGTATCTAATATTAGATTTTTGCGTTTAAATCTGTGAACTGATTTTGAGGAAATTTGATATGGAAATAATTCATAATCCTGGGAAGGTATATAATATATAAGGCTACCTCACCTAATGTCTCAAAGCTGAACGTGGAATTCCGCCCACGCGGGCGAAACTGCGGACGAAACTGCGGGCGGAAGCTAGTATAAAACGTCTACGTGCTCCTAGTAGAAAAAAGCACAATGATTTATCTCAAATATCGATTTATACGATCTCCGTTATCTCAGTGCTGCGTTTTCATTTCGTAACACGTCAATACCTAAAGCCTAAACAAACAATCGTTTGTTTGTTACACTCAAATTCTTGTTCGCTAATTACGTGTCTCGATAGAGATCGTGATTGCGTTCGATGAAGTCGTCATCAGATATTGTCGTATTGATTTACGTACGTAGGAATTGGATTGTCGATCAAAACTTGGGCAGTTAAACACGATCTGTTTGTGTTCAAACAGGCCAAATTAAAATATGTGAATTAGGTTTTAAAGCTAAGTATGTCAGGGGGTAACTGGTACTGGAGGTAGGATGTCTTGTGAGTCCGCACGGGTAGGTATCACCGCCCTGCCTATTCCTGCCGTGAAGCAGTAATGCGTTTCGGTTTGAAGGGTGGGACAGCCGTTGTAACTATACTCGAGACCTTAGAACTCATATCTCTATTAAGGTGGGTGGCGCATTTACGTTATAGATGTCTATGGGCTCCAGTAACCACTTAATACCAGATGGGCTATGATCGCGTTTGCTCGCCAACCTTACCATAAATATACTAGATGTTTTTGGATATTAATAGGTCACATGACGATAGTGCGAAACTGTATAATCGAAATCGCAATACTGAAACGTAATAAGTACTCATTGTGTATCAGAAATGATCGGTTTATAGTCGATAAGATAACACGTTGTATCGAGAGTTGTCGGGATGATTGTACTCTGTGATGTTGGTGCAGGCACGTGGGACATGATCCGGGGCAAGATCGAAGCCGTCACCGGGAGGAGCAAGTCCAAGGATAAACAGAAGGTCGGTCTGTCCGGGATTTTATTCGGTATTTTATAGACATAGGTCACTAGAAAGCGGTTCGTTGTAAAAAATTGGTGGGCTGTGAGCTCGTCCACCCACCCTTCTAAGCAATAAAAAAAATTGAAAATTGTGATTAAATAGGTATGTTCCAGTTGAGACTATGAAGTATTAGGTCAAAAGTCAAAGAAAGGTCAATCAGTGGTCTGAGGATTTATAACTAATAACACCATGCACCCGACGCTTTTTTTACAATAAAAAAAAAATATATTTATTACACGATTTTCAATTTAATTTGATTTTCTATTTCTTAGTTGAATTTTATATAAAGCGTGTTTTTTAGTTTTTTTTAAACTATTATTTATTTTTCCTTTTTTAGTTACTTTTTCTATAAAAGCGTATTTTTAAAACTATTATGTACTTTAACATCAATTCCTGCCTTATCGACTATAGATAAAAAATATATAAATTAGCAAAAATCTTATTTAAAATATTATTTATATTATTCTATTTGCAAAATAAGTTATTTTGCAAATTGAATAATGGAATAATCTTATCAAGTTAGTGTATTGTCATCGGTCCTCGATAAATCTACAAAGCTTGAATGAAATCTGCCCGTTTAAAGTGTCTAGTCTAAAGGAGTCAGTTACAAACATACAAACATACATACAAGTGAAGCTTATATAAAGCGTGTAAAAAGCACACGGTAGGCAGCGGCTTAGCTCTGCCCCTAGCATTGCTGACGGGAGATTAAAAAAAATCATGTCGTGTATTATTCTTGTCTACTTAAAGGTGATTTGGAAGAGATAATTGATAAAGAAAATGATTGATTCGGCAACGTTTGCCTAATAACTATTAAAAAAAAAAGTTTTTATAATATTTTAATAAGTGTCACTTTTGTATATAAACGCGAATATCTGAATATTTATAAAAAAAATTGAAGTCTAAAATGTCAATGTATATGACATTAGAAAGAAGGATGTGCAATGAAACGAATTTGATACGTATGCCTATTGTATTAAAGGTGCCCGAGTCTGACGCTATAGCGGAATTGGATTCAGTCATAGACAGCTATCACGGTAAAACTGGTAAGGCGTATTCTAATGTAATATTATTGTATTTGGAAACCGATTAACGAACAGACGATGTTAAATACGATTAATTTTTTAATTGAAGACATGAGTGGATGAAGGGGTTAAGTACAATTTTTTAGATTTTTGAGTTTTTACACTGAATAAAGTTGTTATCACTACATAGTATAAAACAAAGTAGCTTTCTCTGTCCCTATATCCCTATGTACGCCAAAATCTTTAAAACTACGCAACGGATTTTGATGCGTTTTTTTTTAATAGATAGAGTGATTGAATAGTTCAATAATCCATTGAGAATCCAAATAGTGGAGACATCAATAATAAATTACAGTTTCCGAAGCGAAGCGAGGGCGGGTCGCTAGTGTGCCTATAAACCATATTAGACCTTAAAAACTCCGGGTTTAAAGACTATTTTTAGAAATAGCGCGTGATGAAGGTCTTGTGTATCAAGAAAAAATATTATCACGTTAAATGAAAGTGACATGGGCACTTAACGTATTCTTTAATTGTAAATGATTCGAAAAAAGAATACTCTGGAGTAGATGAAGGAGATACGTTTAAATAATAAAAATAACAGCCACAAACGCATGATATCTGAAAAATTAATAACAAAAGTTTGTTGCCCGTTTTTTCAATATTAACAAATTGTATCATATCCCCTTCATCCACTCATGTCTTCAATTGTAGCAATGTGTATGGTCGGTAGTTTAGTTTAGGTTTTAATCCAATTAATTAAATCAATTTCCGTATCTGCACTTGTCATCTTTTCAGTATTCGATTCAAGTAATTAAATTTTGAAACGGTACGACCGTTCTGAAAAATAGTAACACTAACGCTAAAGCTGGTCATTTCTGATAATGTATATATTTTTAATGTATTGAAGATTCGCATAAAAATTTCCTTTTACAGTGAAAGAAACGAGTAGCGTGTTAAAACGCTCTCGACGGAAAAATAAGGAATCGCAGAACGATTCAAAAAATGGTGGCACGTGGCCTAAGGCTCGAGCTAATTTTATATTAGAAGAAAACTCGACTGGGACGATTGTGCAGCCGAGATCTAGAAAAGAAAGGCCGCCTTTATCGATACTCCTCAGTCCGCCCACGAAACTACCACCAGAACCGCAAAGATCGAATACAAATAGGAACTCGAACCCGATACCTTTGGGACACGCTCCGCTAACTCAAGCCACGACGCCAGCGAGGCATTCAGTCTACAAATCGATCGAGTCCTCCCCGGCTATCGAGCACTTCCCAAAGCCCGCCCCTCTCGCCATTCACAATCCTTTCGCTTCCCCCAACAGCTTCGAGAAAATTCGTACATTAGAAAAAGATAAGATGTCGATCAGCGACTATTCTGAACACGACATAACGCCGAATCGTTTGAGTTTAGTTCTGAACCCGTCCGACGACTCGCTGGACTACCACCCGGTGACGCGCACCAGGACCAAGAGTCCGCACTCCCTGGACTTCATGGTCAATAAGGGACCGAGCTCTCTAGACTTTGTAACGCGCAAATCGCCAAGTTCGTTAGAGCATTCTATCAAGAATCATCCGGGCAAGGATATTCTTGAGCAATATTATTCGACCAAGAAGTCGTCGTCACCGAAGACAGTGAACAAGTATCCATCGGACAGCGATAGTTTTGGGCCCGACTCGCTGAATAGCAATGCCAACTTTCCCATGACGGGGACGTTGCCTTCGCAGTCGAGACTACAGTCGCAGTATTACAGGGTACCCTTTTCAAATTCGAACCCGCACACGTCGAGTCGGTACTCGCAGCTGGCGAGCCCGACGAACATACCGCAGAGCCAGTCGGGGGAGAGTATAGGAACGAGCTACGAAATGCATTCGTTCACGTCGCACACTCACAATATGTCCGACATTCAACCGGTGCCGAGAAACAGTCGCGTGGGGGACTACAACCACGGCTACGAGGGCGGCACGTTTCCTCGCAAAAAGGAGAACCAGAGGTTTCGGATACCGTCCAACCCGAGTGTCACTTCTAAGAACTCCGCGGGCAAACTGAGCACAGGTTCGATCGAGAGAAGTTCCGAAAGAAACTCACCGATGCCGACATTTCACGTTGAAGTACTGAGCCCCGGGAGGGGGGCAAAGCAATTAGCGCATAAAGCTACAAGAAATTCGATGCCCGAATACTGTGGGCTGAGTTGGAATAAACCGTTGCCGGGGGAACTCAGAAGGGTACATATCGACAAAAGTCAACAGCCACTAGGTATTCAAATATACTGTCCTCCAAGCAGCGGCGGTGTGTTCGTATCCACTGTTAATGATAACTCCCTCGCAAGTCAAGTCGGTCTACAAGTAGGAGATCAGCTGCTCGAAGTATGCGGGATTAACATGCGTTCTGCGACCTACACCCTCGCAGCTAGAGTTCTAAGACAAATAGGCAATTCTATTACAATGCTCGTGCAATACAGCCCGGAGAAATACAAAGACGAAATGGAGGTACAGGGCAGTTCATCGTCGGGAGAGAGCTCGCACGACGAGGAAGTCTCGTTGTCGGGATCGCCGACACCCAGGAACTCGCCCGGACCGCAGCAATCTCTGAGAATGGAGACCCCTTCGACTGAAGTATCGACGTTAAGACAGTCGCAAGCCAACAAAGAGCTGCCAAGGTTTCTCCTCATTGAGATGAGGAACTGTTCAGATTTAGGGATAAGTTTGGTGGGGGGCAACGCTGTGGGTATTTTCGTGCACAGCGTACAGATCGACTCTCCGGCGTACAACGCTGGGCTGAGGACCGGAGATCAGATCCTAGAGTACAACAACGTCGACCTCAGACACGCCACTGCCGAACAAGCCGCGCTGGAGCTGGCCAAGCCTGCTGATAAGGTGCGAATGTTTTTTGATACAATACTTTGTTGAATTCCAGTAAATAACATTCAGGTTTTTTTTTAAATTGGTCCTATTCGTCATATTGTTAGTGACACTGACTTCTGTATCGCGAGTTACTGGTTCGGTTACCGGTCGAGGTCTATGTTTTTTTTAAAGTTTAATTCCTTGTATAAACGAGTGAACGCTCAGTGGACGCACGGACTATCTGGTGTTAAAAGATTACCGGAGACGATAGATATCATAACGGGAATGTCGACGTCTCAATTGTATAGCATGGTTGTAATCCAGAGGCGGATTATCCGTAAGGCAAACTAGGCACGTGCCTAGGGGCGTGTAGTTACAAGGGGCACGGGAGCTCACAATTTTTAACTAAATAAAGAAAATAACATATCGATAATTAAGAACTAAATGCTTGAACTAAATGTCCTGGTCTACTAAAGTCTAGGGTTTGATGATATAACGTCATCGTAATTGCAAAAACAACTAGTTAAAATTTATAGTATTATGATGGTCATTTATGGCCGGTACAGTGGCGCGGATAAAGTAATTGCCTAGGGCGCTCTGGACCTTTAATCAGCTACTGCGGTTTTCCCACCCTTCAAACTGAAACGTGTTTCTGCTACACGATAGAAACAGGCAGAGTGTGGGACCTATGGGCTTCTTACAGGCTGCTACGTGCCGGTTTACAAGATACTTGGGTTTTCGGAGCAGTTCCGTTTATAACTTGGGTTCGTTGTATGACGGCCATCCCGCTCTTCCAACGAACTACATTTCTTGTTCCAATTTTTTTTTCTTCAAATACGCAACGGGCACTCGTTCGGTCGCAGGTGAGCGTCCTGGTCCGGCACGATCTCCAGCAGTACCACGAGATCAAGGACAAGCCGGGCGACGCGTTCTACATCCGCGCCGGCTTCGACAGGTGCGCGAAGATCACGTCCATCGGGATGGACGTCATAGACGAGTACTCGCTGTGGTTCCGGAAGGACGAGGTGCTGTTTGTGGACAACACGCTGTTCAACGGCTCCCCCGGCCTGTGGCGGGCCTGGCAGCTGGACTGTAAGAGCGCTAAGAGGCACTGGGGGACCATACCTAGCAAATTCAAGTGAGTGACCGTTCTGTTCTAACTAGTGGTCCCTCTGTAGTCGAAATTCGACTATAATTAATCTATACTAATATTATAAAGAGGTAAGATTTGTTTCTTAGTTTGTATTGAATAGGCTCCGAAACTTCTGAACCGATTTGAAAAATTCTTTCACTGTTTGGAAGCTACACTATTCCCGAGTGACATAGGCTATAACCTTTTTTGAAGGTGTAAAAAAATTACCTAAAATATTCTTTACATCGCGTGCCCTGCGAAAACTATTGATGATAGAATAAAATAATGTACTACGACTTTGTAGTACACATTATTGTTTACAAAAAATATCGCGACAGCATATGTCTAACTATTATAGTTATGTCGCAATAAGTGTTCTTTTATTTAAAAAATAATACAACGTTAAACATCGTTGAAATTTTTGTTAAAGACCCGAGCGGAGCCGGAGCGGGCCGCTAGTTGAAGTTATAAGTTTGAACATTATAAGGTTCTATTGTCAAAGACTATTATACTTCTATAATCACAAATTTCGCCAAGACTACACTATAGACCAATATTAATAAAGATAAACAATATTACATAATCTATTCTCAATTTGACCACAGACTATAAGCAATAAGAAAAGTTTGATAATAAACAAATAGTATGCACGCGCGTGTGTGATATTTTTTTTATTGATTTAATGTATTATTAATGCAAAATTTCAAAAAAAAAATTGCATTCTGCACTCCTCTATATTCGTGTGGGAAATTTCATACTCCTTCGTCCGCGCAATTTGCGTAAAAAGGGGTGCAAAGTTTCAATAAAAAAAAAAAACAAAGGCAATAAGTTTTTGCTTCACGTATTAATGTATAGATGTCTGAAGTCGGTCTGTTGAGATGTTGAGTAATAAATAAAATGGATAATAAAATATTATAAAGTTGAAGAGTTTGTTTGTTTGAACGCGCTAATCTCAGGAACTACTGGTCCGATTTGAAAAGTTATTTCAGTGTTAGATAGCCCATTTATTGAGGAAGGCTATAGGCTATTTAACATCACGCTAAGACCAATACAAGCGGAGCACCAATAAAGAATGTTTCAAAATCGGGGTTTTTTCCCTTTTGAGAGCTTCCACTGCGTGGGCTGCAGAAACGGTTAAAGTTTCGCTAAAATAATGTATGACAGAATTGTTCCCCTTTAAAACATCTAAAAAAAAATCCGCGATTGCCTATGTATATATGTATATTAAGGTTGGCTCACTATAACGTTTTTATTTATCTATACTTTATATCAGTTTTATTTTTAAAGCCATAACATTTTATTAGTAAGAGTTACTTATAATCTATGTTAGTAACTTAAAAAATCTAACACATAAATATCATTACATACATTTTATATCATTATATTTTTATTTTATATTTTTCCTTCCAAGTTCCTGCTGCAAAGGCTATTAATCAGCAGTCCCTCGATCTTGCTCGATATGATTTTATGCTAACCAAATTTGTTCTAAAATAAAGCATTATTTGTGAACTATTCCACGCGGACGAAGTCGCGGGCAAAAGCTAGTGGATAATAAAGTTAGACAGTCGATTTGTAACATGCGGAGTAGTGACGCTGTGTGCTCTCCGGATAGAGTGGAGGAGATCCTGCGGCGGTCGTCGGGCACGCTGGAGTCGGACACGCAGCGCCGGGCCTCCACCACGGCGCGGCGCTCCTTCTTCCGCCGCAAGAAGCACCGCGACAGCAAGGAGCTCGCCTCCTTCTCCAACACCGAGCTGGGCTGCTGGAGCGACTCCGGCACGCTGGCCGACGAGCTGCCCGTGCTCTCCTACCAGAGGGTCGAGAGGCTGCACTGTAAGTCTGTGCTGTTGCCGCTCTCATCCACGCTGTGACTTTACCACTTCGATAAAGCGGCACGATACGAGAACCCTCTCATCGTGGCCGCCGGTAACTAAATTCCCGATCCTGCGGACAGAATGGAAAGCAGTCGACGTCGCCCAAAACACGTCATTTCGACTCCTTCCGATCCACTAAAGGTGCTTTTAGGTAACTCAAGCACCGGTCACCGTTCTCGTCGAACCCGTCGCTTGCGACGAAGGGCTCGACGAGCGAATTAACCCCTAGACACAGCCCACTGAATTTCTCGCCGGATCTTCTTAGTGGGTCGCGTTTCCGATCCGGTGGTAGATTCTGCGAAGCACGGCTCTAGCTAGGGCCAGTGCTAGCATCACTCCGGTTTAAGGTCCACGGGCTCACCTACTAGTTAAGGTTACGCTTAAATAGCCTATCAAGGCTATCAGCTTAGGTAGGAAAAAAAAGGAAAAAGAAAAGAAAAAAAGCTTGGCCCTAAATTAGTCCACAAATGTTTGAATGAATGAGTACCCTGGGACGGGTGCAGTGACGTGCGTGGTTGCGTGCGCAGACGCCCGGCAGCGGCCCGTGGTGGTGCTGGGCCCGCTGTGGGAGTGCGTGGCGGCGCGGCTGGTGTCGGACTGGCCGCACGTGTTCGGCGCCGTGCGGGCCGCGTCGCTGGCGCTGGCCGGCGCCGCGCCCGCGCTCGCCAGCGGCACGCACGTGGAGCCCCGCCCCGCGCCCGACTGCGCGCACCTCGACTGCATCCCGCTGCGTGCCGTCAGGGACCTCGCCGACAAGGTGCGATACGTACGGTGCGGTACGATACACTAGTGGTTCCCCGGTAGTCGAAATTCGACTGTAATTAATTGAAATTATTCTATTTCTATTATTCTTTATTTATTATTCTATCTATAAAGACTATTATGTTTCTATAATCACAGATTTCGTCAAGACTACACTTTAAACAAATATTAAAAAGGATTGTGTGGTTTTAATAAAACCACAGTAAAAGTGAAACTTTTTTTCACATTATATAGACATTTAACTTTGACAAACAAATTTTCATTAAACACTGACAAAAACAAAATAGCGTGGAGCACTGGCACAAATGAGTAATAGTCTATACACTACACGGTCAGCTGCTGCGAACTATAGGCGCCGCCAGACTATAAGCAATAAGAACAGTTTGACAATTAAAAAATAGTATGCATGCGTGTTGTGTCAAATACATGGTAACGTGTGTAATATTTTTATCTATGTCATGTATTTTTTATGCAGAATTAAAAGAAATATTAACATTCTGCACTTCTTGTCTATGTTCTCTATAAGTGTGGGAAATTTCATACTCCTCCGCCCGCGCAATTTTCTTAAAAAGGGGTACAAGGTTTGGTTCAAGTATTAATATATTGATATTCAATCTAAAAACGGATATTGTTTTCTTTTCACGTTCTAATGATAAACCATGACGGTATCAATGCCAGCCCTTAACCTCATCAATGCCTAAGTACATAAATATTAAATTAAATTCAAAATGAACATTTTAAAAGTAAACAACCAGTATACAATTATTTAGAAAAATTATCGACACAACCCTCACTGCCCACGTCACAACACTAGTGCATTCGTCAACTCTCCATTATACTCACGTTCCTACTCTATACGTATCCGAACTGCATTAACATCCATGTGCTATCCTCCCCAGGGCATCCACTGCATCCTAGATATAAGCGTAGCGACAATAGAGAAATTGCACAAACAGCAAATATACCCTATAGTCCTCTTCATAAAGTTCAAATCGTTCAAACAAATCAAAGAGGTGAAAGACACGAGGTATCCCTCCGAGAAAGTGTCCGCCAAAGCAGCGAAGGAAATGTACGAGCACGGCTTGAAAGTCGAGAACGAGTACAGGAGCTACATTTCAGGTGAGAGTGCGCTGCGACTGAGGATGCGATCCGCTTTGTATCATTTCGTCTTTTCGCATTAAAAGGATACAATTTCCAAAAATATTTTAAATTGAGTTAATGTGCGGAATCATTCGGTATCATTACTGGTGGTAGGACGTCTTGTGAGTCCGCACGGGTAGGTACCACCGCCCTGACTATTTCTACCGTGAAGCAGTAATGCGTTTCGATTTGAAGGGTGGGGCAGCCGTTGTAACTAAACACGAGACTTTAGAACTTGTATCTCAAGATGGGTGGCGCGTCTACGTTGTAGATATCTATGGGCTCCAGTAACCACTTAACACCAGGTGGGCTGTGAGCTCGTCCAACCCATCTAACCAATAAATAATAAAAAAAACAGTATTTTTCTCATAAATACTGTCAAAAGAGCGTAGTTTAGTTTTATTTTTTTTAGTTTACCTATATTTGACTACTATTAACAAAATTAATACATAATTTTATCTTACTTTTAAAGACTTTTACTCTTACTGTAACTGGTAAAAATTAAAAAAATAAATGTTGCAAAGATGATTAATATTAAAAATATCACAATATGTTAAACCTCTAAAACACTCTCCTCTAAAATTAGTAAGTTTAGATATTATACAGTTTTAATGCGAGAAGACGATTTGTCTTTTATTGTAAAATTCCTCCGTTAGAAAATGTGTAGATTTTCTGAAGATCAATAGAATTTTTTAATAACTTTTTTCTATAATTTTTTACTTTTTTTATTTTTTATTTTTTCTATTATGTTTTACTTTGACCCTTAAAGTCTATATAAAGAACTTGGAACTGAAGATTTTCTAATTTAATTGGGAATAATCACTAGGTGTGAATTTTATCTCATAATAATGATCTGAAATAATTTAGGTAATCATATTAAAAGACTATTTATTTATTATTGCAGCCGAAATACCAGCTGGCGTGAACATTGCGTACATGTGCACACAAATCAAAGAGGCTGTTGAGGAGGAGCAGAACAAGACTCTATGGGTTCCCTCGGTGCAGGCCTGACCATTGCCCCCCACCCCCCTCCCCGCCCCCCACAAGTCCGTCACTTTCTGTGCGCGCTGCGACCCCCCGCCGCGGACCCCCCACCCGAACGAACTACGACGAGGCCTTTCGGACCTCAACATCGCCCAAACCAAGAAGAAACAATCCAAAACCGACTCAACCGACAGCGACTTGAAGTATTACTCCGAGCCCGACGCCAAGAACTACTTCGAAATCGACTACGTGTTCCTCAAAGAGTTGCGGAAGATCGCCCGTAACAACTGCCCCAAGTGTCGCCGCAAGCGCTCCGGCAAGCATCGCCGTGACGTCACCGACAACAAGCGCAAGTCGGGAGGCATATCGTTCGTGAAGGAGAACTACGTGTTCTGTAACGGACGCTATCACAGCGAGAAGGAACATTGTCAGCTGTGCTGCAGGATCTGCAGTCGGTCCACGGACACGCTCGACTCGGGCGGCGACTCGTACTCGCTGGTGTCGCGGAGCTACAGTCAACCACCAGCCCCACGTAATCTAACACCGAAAAAGAGACGCGAAAGGAGAAACTCGATACAATCGAATAAATCGGTCTCGTTCCTGGAATCGAGTAACGACGAATCGATTAAAGACGAGACCAATTACACGGCGAAGAGCTTCACGAACGATCTGAAGAGGTTTCTGCTGAAGCCTTCCGCGCCCAGGCAGAGTCTCCGAGATAAGTTCATGTCGAGCTTCAAGCAGGAATTGGAAGCTACAAAGAAATCGCCGAAACTTAAAGCTATTAAAGGTTTGTGGAAATCTTACTGACCGTATGCGATTCGATACTGTCTTAATACACCGACCAGTATTTTATGACCCCCGTCGCGTAAAGTTCACGCCGTACTATCAACGACGACTAGCTCGTGCGGCGCCAGACGCTGTCCTCCGGCCGCGACCATTACAGACGACCCTAGCAAAAATTAATTATTTATAATATTTTGGTGCTTGAGTTGAATTTAAGTTTGTTTTAAATCTTTCACTACTAACGTAAGTGTGTTCATGATTGGTCTAAATAAATATATATAATTATCAACAAATTAGGTGCTAGATAATTTGAACTATACAATTTTTTTTTCTACAACTTTTTACTATACTTATTGTCGATGTTTATATTTGAAAAGTTTGCGTGTACTTTATGTGAAACGCGTTAGAAGCTATAATCCTTTAACCCGAAAACGTAGTGATGATATCTTTATGCGCCCGTGTGATAAACGAAGCATTCATGATGTGTACGCGATTGACGTCTACGACGAAGGAAGTAATATTGTGCAATTCAAATAATTGTCTAATTCACTGAATTTATAATCTTGCATAATTACTGGCGGCAAATCTTATAGTGTTGTGGTCACACTGTCGCCTGTGAAGTGGTGTAGTAAATTTCCAGCCTCGAAATGGCAAAATAAATAAATTGCACAACAACAATGAATAAAGATTCGTTATGTGCAATATTAATTTCACGGAATTGAAACTTGTACCTGATTATTTAAACTTGAATTAAAAAAAAAACATGGTAGATGATTCGAAATTTAGAATTTTTCCCTCCCTTTTGGGGTATCTATAAAATGAACGTTATGGTATGGTAGTTACAAATTGTACAAATTTTCTACTAAAACTTGAATTTTTGTATTGAATTGTTAAGTAAAATTATAAAAAAAGGTCATTGCAATAAGATCATAGAAACGAAAAGGTGCCAAACTTCAACATAGCAAACATGGAAATTAAATTAATTATAATGACTTAAAGATTGTCATATCATTATTGGAGTCAAAGAAATTCAGAAAGAATTATCTCATTCCTTCTACATAAAAGTAATAACTACCGTATTATGTATTAGAGGCATAATAATATCCTACACACATATTAAAACGACATTAAAAGCAATATGTTCAAACTTAACATGAAAAATACTTAAAACGGGATAGGTGTTGCCAAACGAAGAAAAACAAGAAATGCTGCCACGTATTAAAAACTACCAATTTAGTAGAAATTTTGAAAATTATTAGTAATAATAAAGAATTTCGTAGAGAGCAATAATAATTTATTAGTAATAAAATAAAAACACGTTTTTTAATCGTATTAGAAACTTAGGGAACATTTTAATGAATTTGTATAGATGTTATTAGTATTAGTACAACGGAATGTATATCGTATTAGTGTTTGATAGAACAATAATGTTACAATTCAAAGTGCCTTTATTCGCAATCAGATGCTATCTTTGAAAGTCATTTATGTATTGAACAAATGTTATATTATGCCGTCATAACTTCTAGATCGAAATGCAAACAAACAACAAATTAAGTAATGATCATTATTAAAAATAAATTTTGAAAAATACTCAATTGAGAAAAGCTTGTGAATTCGTTCACGTAAATCGAATGAGACCGAACTGGATGAGTTTTGTTGTTGCTCACCGAGGATCAGGTCCGCTCGGCGACTTGTTGTCAGACGACCGGATGCCAACGTTATATGGTCTCTGCGCATCCGACACTATGTCCAGCGTAACACGACCTAGGCACCATGATAATGATATAATTAGAAACAAGTGAAAATTGGAAATACATATGTATATTAATTACGTTCATAAATTTCTACAAAGCAATAATGAAAAGACAATTGTCTTGTGAGCGATGCCAGTTTGGACCGTAGACCGTCGAAATGTCATCTCATAGAAAGTTCTGGACGATTGCGAATAAGGGCGAGCGTGAATAGTTTTTTATCGAAATTTATCACGGTAATGTAGTGTTTATTAGTCACGTTTTTGAGCGTTACGGACACGGAGAATGCATGGATAGGAGTAGGTGTTTATAAAGTAGATGAACCTTAAAGACTGTAGTTTAGACTTGGGAGCGGCCTGGTTACATATATATTTGTACTACAATGATAGTTAAAATGTTCTAGAAAAAAATCTTTTGATGTCCCAAATGACGGTGTTGACATGTGTGACGTCGCGTCATCAGATATTAAAGATCGGTCGGTTATCCCTTTGTAAAATCAAAATATGTCACCTTTAATAAGATATTTATTCATTATGGACAATTTATATAATTCTAAATAACACCCAAGAATGTAAAGGTTATAAGTTATAAGCTAATACACTAATTCTTGTAAAACCGATTTTTGCTAAAAGTATATTCGGCCTAGTTCTGATATATAGAATTCTACTTTTGTGTGACGTCACGCCAATGTGCTTAGTGCGAGTTTTTTAACGTTTTCGATAGCGTAAAAGTTAACTCAAATTTTTATGGAGTCGGACGTTTGTCTACGTTTGCCGCTAGGAGCGCTGTTCCAACTGCATACAAATTTAAGTTAACTTTTACGCTATCGAGAATGTAAAAAAACTCGCACTAAGCACACAGGTCACATGCGGGTGACTCACCAATGTGTTGACGGCAAACAAAAAACGACTTTAATGCAACACCGTACGGACAATAATTAATTCGATAACAAAAAAAAGGTTTTAACTATTAATTAGGTATCAGTTTAGCCGTATCGGTATTTTTGAATTGATTTAATGATTACAATATTGAAAGTTATGAATTGTGTCAATTGTATGTGGATTTGATTAAGTTAAATGTGCATAAATCAAACGATTCACTTGTATAAGTATATTTCAGTGATCAGGTTGAACTTAAATACCCTAAGTATTGTAAAAGAAAACGAGCCGTCTTTAAAATAAAAAAAACTTATTTTAATAATTTTTAAATTGTTTTTTAATGTATTGTCTTGAATTGTAAAATATTGTTTTTATTTCACACCAAGAACATGTTTTATCTCAGCCATTCAAGAATGTAGACTGTTGAGTTATATCGATCAGTTTTTCAAGGTTATTTATAATGCTTATATGAATATAATGTTCAGTTGTCATGGATGTATTCGTTAGCTGCTGAAATCGAGACTTATTTATTAATATCTAATGTTTGTAACACTTGCAATCACGGTATTAACATCGCAGTCGGTTGACCAACGGCCGAACCGTCGTGGAAATTGCGAAATTTAACTCTAACGTTTCCTAAATAAGGCTGACAGTTTAGTTCTGTATACTGTTGTTTGGTTATGCTTCGGGCTTTGATGTAATTTCTTTGCGAACGGTGGGTTGATTCGTGTGAGGTGTCTCCCTATTTTAAGTTGAAGGTAAAATTCTTAAACACATGCAGTTTTGTAGAACAACCGCTTCTTATATTGTTCTACTTGTTCATACTTAGATGTTATGTCGTGGATAGATTTTGTTCAATTTGATAATAATCTATAGATAAACAAAAACGATACCGTTTTGTTTGTTTGTTATGATTGGTGCTTTGTTTACTACAAAGTTGATTGTATGCCACTTTTATCGACATTCTTTTGAACTAGAGATGAGAAAACAAGTGATAGGGAAATGTAGTATCCGTCGAGTTCTAGACTAATGTTGACACGTGAATCTGTATATAGCTGTCTCTGTCGCACAATGCTTAGTCGCAGTGCGGCTAGATTCTTGTCTAAGAGTTCCATGGATACTAATCTCTAAAAGAAATTACTACTTTATACTGTGTTTTATTTTGCGCACGGTACTTGTGACGTCACCGCAGGTATTGTAACCGGCTAGTACAATGAAGCTAAAACTACTTTAGACACTGATTACATGAAATAATTATTGAAATTGATATTAGATATATACTACGTGACATTGCCCCAGAGCAAGACCTACCTGACTTAAATTTGTGAGTAGTAATATCTACGAGTGTGAACGGGATAGCGATATGTCCGATGACAAAGACGGAAATGAAGTATGTCTAGTTTGACATAATATGTCAAAAAAATTACAGTAACTTTAAAAAGTGTGTACCACATATTTTGGATTTTTCCAGAGAGTAACTATTTTAAGCGGGGAAGAGTTTAAAAGAACAGATTTTTTTTATCGGCGTCTAATGTAGTTTTAGCTTAAATATGTTATTGCAAACTAAAATAACGAATGATTAAAGAAAAATAAGAAAAAAAAAAACGATCTCAATGAAATAAAAAGTGATGAGGCTTACAAGACAGCACATTTATATTAGATTTAAGCTTATATATGTATGTACAGAGAATATAATTGTTTTTTAGACGCTTTATAACTTAAAGCTGGGATAGCGAATTGTGGATTGCCACGAACGCGGTGTGACTAATGCTTTTAAATTATTTTTTGGTAATTATTATTTGTATTGAAAAATTTAAATGCATTTTTTTATTACCAACACTAATTACTCATGCTATTGATATTGACGCAGCAATGAAGAAAAGCGTACAAAATTCGCTGAATGTGAATATTAAATTTTCTTAAAGTTGCACTTCGTATGGTTCCAAATGTCACGGACACGCTGTAATTAATTTAGAACCAATTGTTGATACTATTTGATACAAAGCATGTTTAGGAATATATGAAAAACACTCATTTGTTGAATCCCCTCACGCACCGCTCATACGTTGATCTTAGTATCAAATTGTTATTATTTAATTAGTTGTCTTCGCAGAATGATCTTGGATTTCGAATTCACGTATTATTGTTTTCTAAATGACTCATTCATTTTGGTAATTAAAAACGAACGGTTTAAAATAGTCATGTTAATTGTCAAAGTTACAAAGATTTGACACAGTGTAGTAATCCCATCCAAAATTCGCCATCCCACAGCTAAAGGATGCAACGTTGAGAAACGTATGCGCTTTAAGTTTTCTTCGGAGCTTATGCGTTTCATTTAGCTTTACGCGTATTAATTAGTTCGTTAATTAGATAATTTTTGTTTTTTTTTTTAGTTACGTTTATCAGTGACCGTTTTATATTTAATCTGTATATAGTTTCTTTTTTTTAAGTGCTTTTTTATTGTTTCATTCTTTAAAATTAAAGTGCAAAGCTTAATTAAAAAGCTTAAAAGTTTAAAATGTGTGTATCTCTCTCCGGTTTTAGGCAAGGTAAGAGACGGTAGTATCTAAGTAAAACAGGTGGTGAAATAGGCATCTATCTTATGTCGGACTTAAGAAAATCTGGCAATTTATTTATATCAAATCTTCAGTTTTTTTATATACTAACATTAATCACGAGTGAACCATAGTTACCATAATTTAATCAGTTGAATTCAATATGGAATGCACAAAAATAATGTTGAATCAAAAGCTACATGGCTATATATGGACTGTTTATTTTGAAAGTGGTGTAAGTCCATTTTCTTTTGTTTCGAGAAAATTAAAGGTTACTTATATTCGTTGATTTAAAAATACAGGCAAATCATATGAGGTCTGGCTATGCCACCTGCCACTGTCAATTGGACTTACACCACTTTCATAATCGATCATTATGCAATTTCATTTACCGACCGATTTTAAGTTGTACAAAACAGGATTTTTTTGAGAAATTAAATACGGCCTAGTTATATATAAAAAAATTACATTAAATTAAGCATGAATTACGTGATAGCTCATTTTTCTCAAAAATGGACTTACACCACTTTCAAAATAAACGGTCCATATCTCGGTAGAGCTGTAAGGTTGAAGTTAAGGTTGTTGAAATTTTCGGTATAAGATTATATTTCAGAACAAAAATCCAATTTTCATGAAATGATTTGCGGTAGTGTTATTGGTTTCGGTAACGCTTTAAGACCACTCGCTTCGCGAACGTGAGCCATACATATTGTAATAAAAGTATTTGGCGTTTGAAAACAATTTAAAGCAGAAAGGGTTGATTTTGGTTTGTTTTGAAATGACGACTTTATCGTTCTGGATAAGTGGATTACAATTTAAGTGGGTGTTATATTGATCTGATATACAGTATTTAAGTTTTGCTCCTTCGCATTTTGTCTTATGACGTTTTCATTGTAATGGCTGTTTAAAAATTTATTACCAAAATGTAATTGGAATAGAAAATTTGTTGTAATGCATATTTCTACAATATTTCTACTCAATGCCCTGGTTTTTCCTATCCTCCGGGGTCAAATCCCCTGATACCTTTACGTCTTTCTTGACGATTTTGTGCCATTTCTGGCTTAAAGACCGTCTTTGTCATGTCGCTTGAATGTAATTGAAAGGTCGGCCTCTTCTGCGCTTCCTTATATCTTGAGTATATAGCCCATATGGTTTAAATTCATTGCGTGTCTATACTAGCGGAGACTGTTTGTCCAGGTTATTAAGATTTTATTTCTCAAACGAAGCACACAGATTTGAGACATTTGTAAATGACACTGTCACATTATTTCACAATATTTACATCAGCAAAAGGATCATGTTTGTTTTGAAAGCAGTTTTAAAGACCATCGGCACACCTTTTTAATGAAAATAACTAGTTTTAAACTACCAAAATTAAACTAAATGCTATCTATAACATTAAGTCCGCCAATGTAAATTTTACATGAAGTGTAATAAAAAAAAACAAATAATGTTTGCGGAAATCGGTTGCAAAATTTTAGTCTTGCCAATGCGTGTTCACATTTCGAGAATGAAAAGGCGTATAGTCTTTGAAAACAACAACGAAGATGAGCGTCCGAACGACAAATTAGTCTTTCCAAGGGGATCTTTTCGAGGCTTTTCAATTTTATCGTTACTTTTTCAATTTAGTGGTATATAATAGTCTTTATATTTTGGTAATTTAAAATTAGAGGCGTGTTTTCGTTTCATTCCTTTCTGGATCCCTCAAATAGAGGTATTTTGATTTTTCATATTCATGCCTTATTAAATTTTTTATAGAATTTTCGCTTCTTGATATGGATAATCTTTTATAATTCAATCCTATTAGCATGTGACTTTTGTTCGACTTATTTCCATTTTACATTTCAAATATAGTACAAATTCTGCTCGTACCTTTCCTAAATCATCAAGAATAGATTACAACAAACATTTACACACGGAACCCTTTCTTTATTGACTTTGTAAATTTTCATAGACACGTCAGAATGGAAAGCCCATACAGTGAAAACGTCACAAGTGAATATACGTTGAATATTATTAGGTTGCGGTTGAAGATGGTTTTGTATGCCTGAACCTTTGTTTAATTAACTCTGATTTGATTAAGTCGTTTGCTAATACACGCGCTGTTCTTTGGTTCTAAATGAACACGTTTAGGATTCTTGTTGTATCATTTTTGACCGCAGTTATTATAACAGTCAGTCGTTGGGCGTTAAAAAACCGCGAAGGATTTTTTTTTTTTTTAATTAATAGTGGACAAGCAAAAGTGGATATGCGTTTTGGGACGCGCGGTTTTGATTATCAACCCATAAGAACAATCGTTTTTAAACAAGAAATTAAAGCATTGATTGTATTTATTAATATTATTATTATTTTTTAATAATTATAAATAAATAAATAAATAAAAGTTGACAATAATCAGTATTTAAAATTATATTATTAGATTTATTTTGTATTTTACAATTTCTTGTTATACTGTATAGATGTATTTATTATATTATGTTGATGTTTGATTAATTATTAATAATATTTTTCTGTATTCTATATTTGTATTATTGTTTTTTTTTTACAATTTACGGTTTTAGGTTTAAGACGTGAATAAAGTTTTAAAAGAATAAATATGTGAAAATCAACGAATTGTTTACAACTTTAGGAAGGAGCAATAAAATATAGAAGAATGTAATTCGTGTTTTAATGAATCTAACCTATTTATGACATCGTCAAAACGTTGTCGAATAACATTGGAATGGTTCATGATCATCGTTATCTCAGTTTTCCACAAGGCCCGTGACACTTGTTGATGGATAGAGCAATTGAAAAAGTGATCTGTGGATAGCATTTTGTTTTATTTATTTATTGTTATACGGGAACAGACGAACACACGACCCTCTTGGTATTGTGTGGTTACGCGCTCAATAAAGCTACTATGTGAATGCGGCACTTATCTTGAGACAAGCTCGAAGTTTCAGTCGTATGATGGATGTTTTACTGGTGGTAAGACGTCTTGTGAGTCTGCACGGGTCACCACCACCTCGCTTATTTCTGCCGCGACGCAGTAATGCGTTTCGGTTGAAGGGTGGGGCAGCCGTTTTACTATACTGATACCTTAGGACTCATATCTCAAGGTAGGTGGCGGCATTTACGTTGTAGATGTCTGTGGGCTCCGGTAACCGCTTAACATCAGGTGGGCCGTGAGCTCGTCCACCCAACTATGCAATAAAAATAAAAAACCCCTTTAAACTCATGAACACATGAATATAAGCAAGCACTGGGCAGTGCGAGTTCAATACAATATCTCCTAATACCAATCTGGACTTGACACAATGTTTGCTATTAGGTAATCGATATGCCGATGTTTGATTTAGAAGAGAAGAACCAGTTGCTAAACGAGCGTGTAAATTGAAAATAAATATAATGAAGAGATAATCAAGATTAATGAGCTTAGTACGCGGAAACTGTGATTAGGTTTGAATTGCCCCGATTTAATAGGTCTGTTCTACAAACAGTAAAAGCGCTCACATCCTGCACTCGAGCCCGTCCATTTATCGCACGATTAGAGAAAGCAACCGAAAGTGCTCGCTAAACGACAAAAAAGTAAATTGACGCTACGGACACAAAAAAAATATGTTGGAAATGCTTTAATCATTTTTCTTGTTTTGCAACTTTGAAAGGTTCGGCGTGCGATGCGAAAGCGCGCGTGAAATGAAACGTGATAGTCAGTCTTGTGGCCGACACCGCGCATGCGCCGTCTCGACTAAAATGGCAGTTGATAAAAAAAAGCGGGAAATGAAAATTTACAATTTACGTAAACAAATCAGCTTAAGTTGTTTAGCAAATAAATAATCTAGACTTTTTTAAATAACCAAAGATATGTAATATAATTTATATGTAATTTAAGGAACATCACAAAATGTGGGCGAATATAATTCATGTGAAAATTGTGATAATATGCTTAGTGATATTAATGTTGGTTTATTGTGATTGTAATGTTAAAAAGGGCGCGAAAATAAGATTTAAGAAAAACGGTGATATAGATAAGCGGAAGAATACTTCAATTAAAAATAAAGCGAATGACACCTTTAAAAATGACGCAAGAGGATTTTTTGGTGGTAAGTAATAAAATTTTATCTCTACTATATAGAATATGATCAGGAATTATGATCACTGTGTTGCTGTTACGAAATAATAAGTCCTCTATTTGAAGGGTTGTAGAAAATATCTTTAAAGCAGAAAGTAACACAATAATAAAACAATATTAAGAATTTTATATAAAACTAGCTGACCCGACAGACTTCGTAGTGCCTCAATCGATAAATAAAAGACCTAAACTTTTGTGTAAAATAAACTTAAAAACAAACAAAAGGAATCCGTCCGACACACATCAAAGGAAAAACAAAATTGTTATTTTTATTTAATTTCGAATATTTTCATTCATTTATCTACATTTTAAACCTTCTCTGGACCTCCACAAATAATTCAAGACCAAAATTAGCAAAATCGGTCCAGCCGTTCTCGACTTTTAGCGAGACTAACGAACAGCAATTTATTTTTTTATATATAGATACGTGCAAAGAAATGTAAATGCGAATAAATACTATTTACAGAAAATTAGACGGCGACCAGTACAATATTCAAATGTCGAGGATTCACACTTTAGCTATCCGTGACCACGAAAACTGGAAAGTGTCCGAAACGTCGGGAAATGATAGACGCGAGATTAACACCGTAATACTTTTAATTAAGTCTACGGCCTGCGAAAACCGAATGATAATTTAGTTTGATTCAAAATTATATTTTATTGTTGCGACAAAGTAAGCCATTATTGTAATATATTTCGCGTAATCATGTTTTCTTCAAGTTTTGGACGAATGTGTACCTGGACTTGTACTCAACAAATTTATTGTTTAAATAATACACACAAGATTTTGAGATCATTAATCACCATTAAAAGAGAGTTTCATTCATATTTCTTCGAACAACCTTGCAATCTTTCCCGAGATTACGTTTGTCAAACCGTCCATTCACAACGCCTTATTACTAGGGTCTTTGAATTCAAAGCTCATGGGGGATTAAGCGGTCACCACTGTTCATGAATAGCTCAACTTGAATGCTGATATTTACTTTGGCATTAACTGTCGAATTTTGTTCCCGTTATCAAAACCGAAACATACGATCGCGTTAGAAATAGGTACGTCAATCGAATTAACTCGCGCGGAGCATGCCCTTTTTCTTCTTTTTTTCTACCTATGCTAATAGCCTTTAGAGGCTATTTCAGCTTCTCCTTGACGTGTAGGTGAGCTCACGGGGCTCAAACCGGGAGTGTTGCTAACACTGGCACTAGCAGTACTTCGCAGAATCTACCACCGCATCGGAAACGCGACCCACTAAGAAGATCCGGCGTGAAACTCAGTGAGCTGTGTCTATTAATTCACTCGTCGAGCCCTTCGTCGCAAGCGGCGGGTTCGAAGAGGATGTTGACCGGTGCTTGTGGTCCTAAAAGCACCGTTAATGGATCGGGAGGATCCGTAATGACCTGTTTAGGGCGACGTCGACAGCATGCCCTGAAGACTTAGGTCGCTTACTGTAAAAAAATGTAACAGCGAAAGCGGGTTATTTGAATTCGCATGCGCGTTTTGTTTTTTTTTTATTATTTTTACAATTCGACAGTGTATGAGCGCTCTTAATGACTTGCAATATGCTCCGTGGTAGCAACGTGACTTCGCATCTTTTATCTTGCGGTTTCTCTGACTACCTTTTGTTTGGGATAAGAAAGTTTGTTATTTAGGTAATTTAAGTTTTGTGTTTTGTTGCTGTAGATCGTAAAGATCAACCACTGTTATTGGGGCCCGTAGATATCAGAAAGTGAATGCCGCAGTCCATTTTTAGACAAGAGGTTAATGTAATACGGCTATTGAATGATTTTGATAATTTTTTTGTGGTCAAAATAGATAGGATGGTGGCACCGAATCGTTAATACTTATGTATAGGTCTATGTGATTATTTCACCCATCAATACAAAAAAAAAGCAAGTTTTCAGCATTATCTTTAATAGAGATTGGTAGTAATTGATCATTGAATTAACGAAAACATCATCTTTAAGAAATAAATTCAATTACAACTAAACGTAGAAATAACTGTCTCAAACGTATACACATATATTATGTTTATGAAAATGAAAACCAATGTTTCTTTGTATGTATTGAAAACGTCATGGCTAAATGCCGTGGTTGAAATGTGACAGGCGGGCATCAGTTTTTGTACCAGAAAATATACGTAATCCTGGACACGAACCATATACATTACACCATAAAGGAGTCATTTTGTGTAAAAGTCGCTTAAATAAAAAAAATAAAAATGATTATTACAGGTATAAACTACTTTACTGCAATCCGTCAGAGGTTTCCGCTTATTTCATGCATTACAGTTTCATGAATGAGATCACCATTACACTTCACTTCATTGAGAGAGGCCTCATGTGTTAAGGCAATGGTGGACCGTAAGAGCATTCACCTATTGTGCTTTAACAAAATCAAATCAAATCAACATCAAACAATCTATTATCTTTTATTAAATCTCTGGGGTGATGATGATGACTGAGTGATCGTGACTAAACTCCGTACAGTTGTTTCTGGGAAGGTAGGTTTCTAAAGGTCTTCAAGGAAAGTTTCTGTTATATTACCATCAACGAAAGTCATGCGTGTATTTCAGATATCAGCCTTCTTAAAGAGCGATGCCCTCGTCCTAATGTACTAAATATTTTTCTTAGCTCGATCGATTAGAAGTCGTCGTAGCCTAAAGGATAAGACGTCCGGTGCATTCGTATCGATATGCAACGGTGTTCGAATCCCGCAGGCGGGTACCAATTTTTGTAATGAAATACGTACTTAACAAGTGTTCACGATTGACTTCCAAAAGAATAACATCGTGTAATAAAAATCAAACTCGCAAAATTATAATTTGCGTAATTACTGGTGCTAGGACCTTTTGTGAGTCCGCACGGGTAGGTACCACCACCCCGCCTATTTCTGCCGTAACCCAGTAATGCGTTTCGGTTTGAAGGGCGGGGTAGCCGTTGTAACTATACTGAGACCTTAGAACTTATATCTCAAGCTGGGTGGCGCATTTACGTCGTAGATGTCTATGGGCTCCAGCAACCACTTAACACCAGGTGGGCTGTGAGCTCGTTTACCCATCTAAGCAATAAAATAAAAAGATATGCAGCGATAGTCAGTGTGGACAATGACGCGGTTTCACTAGTATCAAAATTAGAACAGATTCCAACGGCTTAACTTAAACAATTAATCATTCCCTTTCGGATGAGCTCGTCGCTATTCCGAAAACGGTTCTAAACTACACCTAAAGATCCTTTTCAATCTAGTTCAGTCATTATTATTCAGTTTGCGTATAAAAAATACGTGAAACGAAATGAGGATTCTTTTCACGTTACTTTGGTATGGACAAAGTAATCTTAAAGTCCTGGTATCCTGTTTGAATTTTAGAAACTATAACGGTTAAGTTGCTTAGCTAGCTTAGCTTAGTTGGGTTTTTTTTTACTGGTGGTAGGAGTGTGAGTTCACCCGGGTAGGTTACCCTACCTATTTCTGCCGTGAAGCAGTAACGCGTTTTTGTTTGAAGGGTGGGGCAGCCGTTATAAAAAATGCGATCTTAGAACTCATATCTCGAGGTGGGTGACGGCATTTACATTGTCAATGTCTATGGGCTCCGAGACTTAACAACCTGCTTAACACCTGCCATATTTTCCAGAATCTCTATAAATTAAACAGTTGTCTGGAAGAGATCGCTTTTATCGATAAGACCGCCTATTGTACAAATGTATCTGCTTTTTGATTGTTTTTGAATGTAAACTTTTGGTGTGCAATAAAGTGTACTCTCTCTCTCTCTCTCTCTCTAACACCAGGTGGGGCGTGAGCTCGTCCATTCATCTAAGCTATAAAAAAAGTAACAAACAGAAACATCCAATATTCGAATTAATATCAGTACCTACTGATACTGAAGCTTCAAATGATCCAGTACATCAGGCAACCTACTCTTCGAACTGGAACACGTAATTGTTTCAATGCCAAAAATGGTGGGACAGTAGTACCCAATTACTTTGTACATCACGCCCTACCACCGGTAGTAATTTATTGTGTACATATATTAAAGAATAACAAATATATGGAATATTTTGAGATAATATTTCTATAAAAAACAAATGCCAATATTTTAATTTAAAAAAATAATACTAGATAACTAAACTAATCTTCTAATATAACTAAAAACTAATCTTTGTCAAAAGCAAATATATTTGTTGAGGTCCTAGATAATTATCTATCCGAGTAGCAATAACTTTGTTGTTCAAGCGGTACTTAGGCATTTGTTCCAATACGATCTCATTGTATAGAGTAGCATCCTTAATTTGCAAAGGATATTCATAAATCCCAATCCATATCAAGCAATAAGGAGTAAGTAAATAATTCGGGAATACTGTATTATCTTTTTAATTCAGTTATCCTACAATGGTTAACCGCAGTTACGGAAGTTGTTGTTTATTGCTGGCTGGTCTTAAAAAAAACCCAGCGGAAATAGGGTCCAGGTGGATTCTTCACTTTTAATGATGCAGTACGGCATAGGTCTGTGCGAAAGTACTAATTATCATGTTAATACAATTTTGAGTACAATTTATCTAGGTAGTGCTTATGAATTTAAAGGAACCAAACTATTTTATCTCTATAATTAATTATTATTTGTCAAGATAGGCAGACAAACTTATGGTCGATCTGATGCTAAGTCGTTACTGAAGCTCGATGAGAAAACCGTTTTATTTTATTTATTTATTGCTTAGATGGGTGGACGAGCTCACAGCCCACCTGTTGTTACGCGGTTACTGGAGCCCATAGACATCTACAACGTAAATACGCCACCCACCTTGATGTATAAGTTCTAAGGTCTCAAGTAGAGTTACAACGGTTGCCCCGCCCTTCAAACCGAAACGTATTACTGCTTCACAGCAGAAATAGGCAGAGTGGTGGTGCCTACCCGTGCAGACTCACAAGAGGTCCTACCGCCAGTAATTATGCAAAATATAATTTTGCGGGTTTGATTTTTT